GTCCCCAAGATACATCTGATGTGTTTAAGGCTGTTTTACAATGCATTAGGAGGCCTTTACATGTGCTGAGCTCACTTTATTTGCTCATACATTTCACAGGCAGAGTTTAGTGTCAGGCTGATGGCGACCATTCATAGTGACTGAGTCACTTGTCGAGACAAATGAGCCCGTGGAAACAGGCCGCCGCAGTGGATAATAAGCATCTCAAAGCAAATTCCCACTTTTCCCTTTTTATTTCCATCCAATAAACGGCACATTTACTATTCAGTGAACCCTCACTGATTCCAGCTCATCATGTATTCTCACTCACTGCGATTGATTGACCTGCATCTTGAAGACGGAGAACGGATATAATTTTTCCCACCAAGTGGTGGGGCGTCAGGATCAATATTCTCACTGTTGGTTAAGCTTTTGCAACCTTTACAACATCGGCTCTGATCGATCTCTCTCACATAATTGTCTTCATTTTCAAATCAAGTTATTCTTTTTTCTTTTGTTCGTGCCGATGACATTTGAAATGCCTCATGGTCTTCATAAATGACCCCTGGAAATACCCAAGGTAAAGGGCATAAAAACACAGATTCATTAACAGCTTACATTTATTGTCCGTGTCTGCCGCTTTCTACTTTCACCCCTCTGCTATAAACATGTGGAAGAAGAGAGGCCTTGTTGTATTTCCATATAAAAAGCCCCATAATTACAGGGGGGATGAAGATGGTTGTTCCCCTTATCAGAGGAAATGATAAGGGAGGACCAGGCCCTGTGAAAGAACAGAGTCCATTTTGATATAATTGGCAGTGGAATTATTTATGACATTAATTGCCACATTATCGACTGGCTGTCAGCTCCTGTGTCAGTCTGTCCATCTTTCTTAGCAGAAAGAGCCAGCTCAGCCCGGTGCCCACTGACAAGCTAATTACTACAGCACAACCCTGAATGACAAATGTTACTCATCTGAGACCGCGGCCCGGATATAAGGGCTGACCCCCCTGACTCCACGCTCCTCCGGCTGAAATAGCAGTGAGCTGCCAAATGTCTTCAGGTGCAAAAGAGGAAGAGTTCTTGTACAGACAGAGAGAAAAGGAGAGAGAGAGGGGTTTCTGGAGCCAGGAGGGCGGTTAAATCCAAATCTCACCCCGTCCTGTTTGCTGCTCTGCTATCAGTGGCCAGTTGTCACTCATCAAGACACGTCTCTTCTCCTCTCTCTGCCTCCTTGTAAATTTGCATTAGCTCATGCCAATCAGTCACGAGGCTGTGGGCTGATATGTGATGACAGTCAGCCAGACACCATTGTGACTTTTAGGGAGGTGAGTTTTGCCAGTGTAATATAAAGCTCAGTTTACATCACTGTATATAGTATTACTGTAATTCTGGGTCACAATTAACACAGAGAAGTTACATACTGTAGAAAAAACTGATAAATCTAAGACACGCTCTTAAAATACCTTTAATTTCATGGCATGGTCATCAAGCTTTGACACCATAGACTGCATATAGAATGGACAGCGTCTGCCTCCTCGCTGGGTGAAGCCACTCCGAGAACAGCACCCTCTGGTGACGGGCTGCAGTATAGGTCATAAATCCCGCCTCCGCCAGCAAAGCTTATGGAGCTGTGGACAAACTTTAGAAATTTATTACACAGAAATATACATTTTTCCCCCCTGCTTGAGATGTTGACATGTAGTTACTGTAAGACTGGTTTGTGTTCAAGTCCTCTTTTTTCCGTGGAGGTCCGTTTTTAAAAGTTATTAGGGGGTTCATGTTTTCTATGATTGACACTTGGTACAGCCTATGGGCGCACGAAGATTGAGTAGCTCACCCGGAGGATACGCTGTTTGAGCTGAGTGTCATCAGAGCGACTCTAGGTGACTCTCCCGCCGAATGCGTACAATGCTACTGCGCAATGTTGGTTTAAGGAAGTGGAGAAAAAAACCAGAATACCGAGAGCTTTTAGGCTTCAAATTCGCATACTGGTGATAGGAGGAACCAAGTTGTCCATAGTATATACAGTCTTTGATGAATACCTTTATTTTCATGGCATGGTCACATGGACCTTTAAAACAAACCCAACCCAAAATGTGTTATTGGGGTGTAGGGTCTATCTCTAGCTTAGAGGGGCTCGTAGGCTTTATCTACTTTGCTAAAGAATATTTCACTTTTTCTCACTTCTTTCGATAATAACATATAAATTGATGTATTTTTTTTTATAGTAATGCATCGTTATTTTTCTATGAGGGCCTTTTCTGGTCTGCATGATCATAACATGACGATAGAAACATTTTAACAGGTCAGATAACTGCCCTATCATATTTTTGGTATTTCTATGAATGCATGTCACTATGTCCAAAGAGCACCTTCAAATTTAAATGTTTTTGAGACCATTAAGGGCTCTGTACTCCTTTTCAGGTCAGATCTGACTAAAATATAATTACAAGATTGAACTAAATCAGTAAATTGTTGAGATTTTCAAGATTATGTTAAAATTTCAAGATACAAATTAACAACAGAAACATTTCATGAAGAAAACTGCGTTCAGATATCCCGATTTGTCTTAGAAAAGCACAGATACTCACAGAAAATATTTGGGAATAGGGTTGTGTCTTTTTCTTTTTGAGTGCACTGAGTCGATGGCTTGAAGAGAAGCCTGGAGGGCTACTACAACAGAATGTCACTGATCTGCTCTGATGAAGTGGCATGCCATTTGTTCATCCAAGAAGTTCCCAAGGAGCAACAACGGCGACCGAGCCGAGGGTCACAGAGGGCATCGCCTACAGGTAGATCTGTGCTCACACCTTCATTAATCTACTGCGCATGATGCCTGGCATCCCATTCATCCTTTTGCATACACAGAGGCGTATGTCAGGCATATGTCAACCCGCTCTGGCACTCCCCGCCCATCCCATAATGCAGTTTGTGTTGGTGTGGCAGCTCGGGATGCGTCCCTGACGAGGATAGGAAGTGACACACACCAAACTCGGTGTGTCCCCAAGCCAGCTCCGGTGGCTCGGGGCCTGTCAATTCCAGCTCCATCAGTGGCACTGGCTCAATGGCAGTGCCTGTGACACATGTCACAAAGTTTTAAATGTCTGCTCTTTTCAGCAGGATGGCTGGGCGCGCGCCGCAGTCAGGGGAAGGATGACATTTTGTGTCGTGCGGGGGGGAACTTGTTGTGGCTCCCCTCTTCCTGCCTCCTCCGGCTGTCAGTCCCACTTTCCTCTGAGCATATCAAAACACAGACAAATAAACCTTGTCATTTTGAAACGCCGGCACTAGTGACCAGGCTCCTGAACGGCATGTCAGCTGGAATATGGTCACACAGTCCTGTAGGAAGTAGTGTATAAACATGAGCAAGCAGGCACGCATGCTCTGACACGCACACAGTCTTGTGGTCTAGCACAAATGTTTAAGCTAACAGAAGGAGGAAAGAAACAGATTCAGACATTGTGGACAAACATTGCATGAGGCTATCTCTGACCTTTCCTTCATCTGTCTGCGGATGATTGACGCACTGGACTGAAGCTCAACAGGGTTTCTTTCAACTCTCAAATACTCAGAGTCTCCTCATTTTCTCATTCTTGTGGATTTTTCACCTCCACAGAAATAAGTGGTTTAATCAAGCTTAATGACTTGACCTTAAATTTGTCAGTAAGGTTCACCTTTTACAGTTGTAAGGATGAATGATTTGTCTTAGGATCTGTATTAACACGAGTAAAAAAAGTAGACACATGAATACATCTGAACCCATTCATCAATTTAACAAGAGGCGTATTTTATTTGTAACCCTTTTGATCACCTGAAGGCTTTCAGCCACAACAATTTTGTGCCAGATTTAATACACTTTTACATCACATGTAGCCTGGAATGCTTAAGATAAGATTTGAAAAAGGAGGAGCTTTACAGAAACGCAGAAACGTCTTTTTTTTTTTTTCTGACAAGGGGCATCAAAACACAAATGACAAAGATGATTATAAAAGTATATCCAAAAAGAAGTTTAAAAGCAATGCACTTGATGATATCTTGAAATAGTGCAGACTCATTTTTTGCACTAATGCATTTCAGTAGGACGCTGACGGCTTAAAGTGAAACATGAAAAATAATCTCAATAATACACTTTTATTTACTTGGTACAAACATTTAGCTAAAACTCTTTTCTTTCTTAAAGCTCATATTTATATGGTGAAACTTAAAAACTGCATTTAATATATCTCTCTTTCAGAAAATTACACGCTAGCATAGACACACGTACTCATCGCAGAAAACTCATTCAAACAAACGAAGGAAAAGTGTTGCCATGAATTAAAAACACACACTGAGTTTGCCTCAAGATCTTAGGAATGTCTTAGCAGGCTGTCTAAGCCTCCTGTCTCTGCTACGTCTTAATATTATCAACAGCAGTTATGTGTGAGTGTGTGTGTGTGTGTCAGAAAAAAGAGAGAGAAGAAGAAGAGAGATGAGTCCATGTCAGGCCCCAGGTGTGTGACCGTCACCCCTTTCACCCTTGATTAGTGGCGGTAGTGGACGGGTGATCCATCATGGCTGTCAGAGAAAAGGATGCAATTGGCTGGGTCTGTTTGTCACTGACCATGTGTAAGAGAAAGAGAGAAAGAGAGAAAGAGAGAGAGAGAGGTCCCTGTGTGTGTGTCTGTGTGTGTTTAGTGCGTGTCTGGAGTTGTGTGGCTGCTGTTGCTCGCAGGCAGTCATGTCAGCGAGAGTGTCATCTCTGACTATGAATCGCAGCTCGGAGCAGGGAGGCAGAGGCAGACCCAACACAGCAGAGGAGGCCTTAAACTACGAGGCCGGAATAAAAACTTCAAAAACTTTCAGCAGAATAAAAAGAACAAACTCTTGCATATACCTATAAGTATATAATCTTTATCCAGTGGGAACTCAAACGACTCAAACAGCAGTGGTTATAATAAATAAAAGATAGATTTGATCCTTTTCCTTCTGTTTACATCCATAATAAGTCATGTCCCTCTTTATGCCTGAGCAGCTGTCCATCAGAGCTGGTCGTTCCGGATGAATCTGTTGCCTTCTGAGTGTTTTCCGTAGTAGACGTAGCGACACTTGGTGAATACCCCTGAAAACAGAATGAGAGCCAGTTAGGTGATATGTGGGATATTCATGTGAAATAAAAAATAAACACAAAAACATGTTATTAAAAATCACATGCACCTCCTTTTAGAGCATTGAGGACAGGAAATACACAATACTGTATATTATGATGCGATGCAGTGGGGTACGGTACAATGCAATGAGTAAAAACAAAACTTCATGTGACGCAGTGCTCTGTTCACTCGGGGTGGGATAAAAAATCAATACAGCATAGTATTACAATATTTTATATTGCAATATTATTATGTAAATTCTGTACAGATGTAAATATGATTCATATACATATCTGTTTTTTTTAACTCAAAGTTTCTTTAAATTTAAAATTTCTCTTTTTGTATCTGTACTATGCTGCTGTAAATTAGAAATTTCCCCTCATGGGACGATTAAAGGAACATCTTATCTTGTCTTATCTTGTTCTTATTTTGTCTCATGATATATTGCAGAGGCAACATGATAGAGCAGAAGAAAAGGAGAAAGTATAACAAACATGGCAGCACCTGCAGAAGGACATTGGGAATGCAAAGGCACAAATGAGATGAACACGATGCAAGGTTTGCAAGGAGAGATACATGAAAATAAAATATTGCATAAATAAGACAAAAAAGGGAAAGACAAATACTAAATCAGCTAAGCAGTCGAAAAAAATTATAAATTACAATATACAATACCCACTGTATTGCAAAATGTTTACAATCGCAATAATATTGGATCATGGCCCAAGTATTGAGATAATATCGCATCATGGGGCCACTAGTGAATCCCACCCCTACTGTCCACACAGCAGTTTTCAGGTGGTAAGCAACTCACTTATGTTCAAGCTTCGGTGAAGTGTCTGCCACACAAATATTGTCATAGTAAAATCACATGCTTTACTTTGACAGGACAGGAGAATAACTTCAGATTGATCATAAAGTAAAGTGAGTTAATGAAAATTGCTCAAAGACGACTCGTTGCTTACAACCATCATGGTGTTGTCTTATTCTTACACATCTCTTACTTTACATCTTTAAATGCAAAATCATCACTTATAATTATTTTGTCTGTGTAGCTGTAAATAGTCACAGATATAATGATTTTAACCAAGAGATTTTGCTGGTAGATGGCGCTCTCTCATGTTTAAGAAAAGGTATTGATATTCTTTTTTATCTCATGAATTAAAACAGTTCATTTTGTATGCTGACTTCCATCTGTCTTATAAATTAACATTAAATCCAAACCTTTAAGACAGTTTAATGTTGTGTTTCCTCTTTGAAAGCATGCATTATACTTTATATTTATCGACACTCCAATCATATACAAGAGTGTTAAAATTTAGATATCTGGGGTGAAGATTCTACTCGACACAAACAATAAATCAGGTCGGTCTTGCCCTTGATTAACTTTTCCATCAAGCTATAAAAAAATAAGGCCGGTTTATGTTTCTGTCTTTTACTCATGTACAACACTGAACACATAACCTTCTTTGCAGACACAACAACTAAAACATCTGATAAAAAATACAACATTTTGTAAAAGACATAAAGGTCCTTTGTTTGAAGCGGTCATGGGCCAAATATGTTTAGAAGTGCCGAGCTAAGTAACCATAACTGCAAACAAAGATCTCCTTGTTGTTGTCTGGAGTGCATAAAGAATTATTTCGACAGACACTCTAAGTCAAATTATTCGCTTGTAGTTGAGTTATTCCGTTTTTTGGTAGAATGAATCACATCATTGATTTTGGTTACAATGTGCTCTTAATATTTAACTACAAAGGATATCTAAAAATGACTCAAAGTAAAACTTCTATAAAACCCTCAAAATGATACTAACTTTTAACGATGCCTGTAAAGATTTCGAGAGTTTAAACAAGGCTTGAATTGAAGTGTGGTGACCAACATATTCACCATGGTTGTTAGATCTTAAGGTCAAATACATCAGAGAGAACTTTTAAAACAGCCCATTTGCCAAAACTCTTCAGGCTAGCTTTGAATGACTGAAGTACTCACTTTAGAGTTTTAGCTGGAAAGACCCACAGAAAGACCGATGAGGACTTCATAAAAAAGTCACAATTAAAGTTATAAGTTTACAGTCAACCCATAACACCAGACACACTGAACTGTGACTGAAAGCTACTGTCCGGCTGTAAGAGGAGACAGGTGGGGACAACATTCAGTGCGTTTACATGCAAAGCTTTATCGGACTACGCTTATAAATCGTTTTTTTTTCTTCCGCCGAATCAGACTTCTGTCCTCGTCCACGTATACATGCAGTTAAGAAAATTGAACTCTTGACGTGAACATGTCCTCCTCCCCAAAACTAGGGGGCGATATGGGTCTTTTCAGCGGCGCTGTTTCAGACCCTATACAACTGTCAACGACAACAGCAGATCTATGCCAGACGTCAGAAGTGTCTACATCTGCTGCTGGGCAACTCCAATCGGAGTTCTCAAACTCGGATTATAGTCGGACTACGGTGTTTACATGCACTTCAGTTGTCCGGTCTTAATCAGAGTAAGGCAATAATTTGGTTTTCTCATGTGTCATGTAAACATACTGAGTGATCCTGATCATTTCTGAGATTAAAATGCTCAAACTTGTTTTACATTGGAAGCCTGTATATAAAAGAGTTGTCTTTATAGTGTCAGGAAAGCAAATGTTAATGCATAATGTTGCGAACTGCTTAATTCTCTGACATGGGAAAAAGTTGAATCACAGCAAAGCTGTACCAGTCAGGAATCCAGCTTGGTGAGTGAGAGCTACTTTGAATAAGTATTTTGAACTAAAAAAGGATGAAATTGCAGAGTAAGTTACCTGGGACTCAAGAGAAAGACTTACTGCATCTAAACACTTGAGTGCGTTTAGATGCAGATAAACTGAACTTGGTTTTAGCTTGATTTGGGAATTTAAACAAATCTTACAAAGATTACTGTCCTTGTCTCAGGTTAAAAGAACCTGGGACGAATCAACAGATGTACGTCTACCTTTACAGTAGGTGGCAACATGCGCTCAGTCAGCTCTTCCCTATTTGGTTATCTATAACCTTGTATTAGTTGACCTGTTACCTACCAAACAAACTTGTTAGCAAGTGCGAAATAGGCTACAATAAACAATATAAAAACTGTCTCTTCACAGCTCTGAACCTTCTGTACATATGATATGACAGCTTTATCTATTATTTGTCCCCTCTTCTTCTGTCGAGATTTTGTTTGTCACTCTGTTTCCTAGCAACAAAGTTATGCCATTCAAACAACAGCTTGAATCACAGTGTGCAAACTCTGGAGCATGTGCAGAACGCTTAGGCCAGTTTCAATCCAGTTGAGCCGTATACATGAAGGTGAAAATGTATTGTATATTGCATTATGCATGAGGTATGTTCGGCTGAGGATGAGAAGTTCAAATTAGTGCGATTTCAGGGCCCATTCCCAAATCCTGAACCAGACCTGTACGAAACAATCCCCTTTTGGCTTTGAGGACAAAACTCCAAGAGCGTCACATTATTGTAAGAAATATAGTTCAACAATCACTGAACGACTTAATCATGGGGGTAAAAGACTACATTTACCAGAAACAAGGCGAGAGTCCCTCTAAAGACCTAAAGTGAATCCAAGGTGGCCAACAGTACTTTCTTGATATAATAAAATGTGTGTTCCTGTCCAAATAAGCGCTGCCCACGGTTCTGTGACTGCTCTACTCTGTCTCTTGATGTCACAGCACTCACACCGCCACTTGATGAATGTGGTGAGCTGCTGCTAGGTGTCACCTCTCGCCAAATGAGGCAAGGACAAGTGGCATTAGTGCTGTCAATGATCCTCTGACAGCAGAACAGATACAGCTTTCGCCAGGCTTCTTAAATAGACATCAAGTGCATTATAAAAGGAAAGAGGAGGGGGCGGGCAGGCTGGAGACAGAGCAGGGAAAGAAGAGACTTATGGGAGCGGCGGTGTCTCAGAGGGATGAGGGGCGCTCCGAGCGCTAAGTCCAATCACATAATCCAAAGAGACATTGTCAAGGGCGGGGAGAGAATGGCAACTAAGTGACAGAAAGCAGAGACGGGGACAGAGATACTGGTGCCATATTAGTGCCAAGCATATTCTGATGCCACCCTCAATTCTAACCAAACCTGACACATCGCTCTCTTTCTCCCCCACTCTCTCTGACTCTTCAAAGTAGGCTCACACACACACACACGCAAATATAAAGTACCCAGACGTACACACAAAGATACACACACATACCAGTCCCTCGCAGCAGTAGTGGGTGTTCTGTCAGGCGGAGGAGCAGTACAGCAGCAGCAGCAGCAGCGGCAGCAGCCCACAGGCCCGGGGACAAGCTCAGTCAATCTAAATCTGGACTTTGTAGTGGAGCAGTGCTCATTTCCCCTCATAGCCCAGCTACTTGAGGTGATCCAAACACTGAAGTGTGAGAAGCTGTCACCTCCGATAAAATCCGGGACCAGCTCCATGCCTGCCTGCTCCCCCGGTGTGTGAGGGAAACATATACGTGTGTTTTCTTGTGTGTGCGCCTCTGACAGTGAGGTTTGGTAAGGCGGGGGGAGGAGTAATCCAGCTGCCGTGATTCGCCCGGGGATATAGGTGCCACGGCTGGAGACTGGGCCTGACACCACAGGACTCGTGGTGTCTACCAGAGCTCTGATCACATGGGCGCTGGGCTCTTTCACGTATTCACCACTTAGCCAGCGAGGACACCCTCCTTCTTCAGGAGTGGGGTCCTTAAAGAGATTACCCAGCAAGGTACCAGAACCAAGGCTCCTTCAAGACATTACCTAGAGGGGATATATTTGTAGGTTGCAACCAAAGCCTTTCAGAGATAACCTTCACAGATGAAGGAACTAAAGCTTAAGGCTCTTCAGGCCTTCACACTCTGCTGAGCCCATCACGAGCCCACAGGGGCCCGAGAAGAATCGAGGAGAACACTTTCTGAGATTCTCAAGCACCAATCAGAAAGCTTTGGGTGATTTGTTACTCTAGAAACAGTCCTGGAAAGAATAATAAAACCTGGTTCAAGTCCAAGCTCAGGTTACAGCAACCGTTTTTGCATTTTGAGTAACTCCACAGGTGCTTTCCTTAATTTCAGACTTGCATTATTTGCTGGAGTAAATATTCCTCCTGTAAGAGCATGTAAACAAATGCTGAGAATGACTACAGTAAGCTATTATAATGCTTTGTGGTAAGAACAAACAAGATCAGAGGGTGTAAATAAAAAAATATATAATAGAGACATATTCAACACAAGTTTTTTTCCTTTTTAGTAAAAACCGAGGCGGTAATTGTTGGTGTTCTGGCAACAGTTAAACACTAGCTATCATTAGCTTCAGGGCTAAAACATACACCAACACTCTGGAGTCTGATACTTTGAAGAGAAAAAAAAACAAAAGATAAAAGCAGAAAGCTAAAAAAAAAGTCTGGATGACAACATGCTCGGGGAGCCACAGCCAACAAATGTTGTTCAGTAATAATTGAGACTGAACTTGTTCATTCTCTGTTAACTGTAGCGCGCCGGCTAGCGTTAGCCTCGGGGCTGAAGTGCTTGCCATTACTTGGACACATACAGAAGTCAAGGACTCAGTCTTCTACCTTCTTTTTCACTCTATCTCAGACAGAGGAACGATATCATGACGGTGTTTGAACTTCCCAACCCAGCCACATTAGGGAAAAATGGCTGCCATGTTAGTATGGTTGATAGTCATGAAGGTTGAGTCAGAAGAGAACGGGCAGAGAAGAGAAGTAAGGGAGTAAATTAAGGTAACAGAGAACAACAAAGGGCTTGTAATAGACATCTTTTTCCCAGCGGATGAAAAAGTGCATGAATGTGTCTTAATTTTCTGTGGATCCTGACCCCAGCTGTACATATATTTCCTGCACTACATTAAGCAGTGTGTTTTGTACATAAACACACTCCGGTTCGCTGCGTCCCCCTTCACAGCGAGAGCCCGCTCTTATTATGAGAAAAAGCATGAGAAAGATGGTGCGGCTGGAGATGAAGAAGGGAATAACTGAGCCACACTCACTCTTACATAACACCTTGTGAGGCTGGGCTCACGCCTGTGGGGTTCCGCCTGATGAACTGATACTTAATAACAAGTGGTACAGTGCCAGAGCCAGTGGTCTACAATATCCTCTGTGTATCCTGAGCCATGGCTGAGCACACTTGAATCAACACCCACAATCTGTACCATACGCACATTATCACAACTCATGCGCACTTTCATCTCTTGCACACAAACACAGCACACGGTGGGAACAGTGGGGGCAGCCATTAAAGTGACAGATGAACAAAGTGATGTGGAGGCTAATGTTTCCATCATGCCCTGGTGGAGGAACAATCAGGCCTTTGTTGTGCATATGTCTCGCAGCACCTTGTTGTTTTTAAGAGGAGTAGCTCACTCTCTAGTCTTTATTAAAGGCTGTACAGTGTGTCTCTTGTAGCCTCCTCTTGGTGATCGCTGCTGTGGAGGTTCATAGTCACACAGCCTGGTCTTTTCAAAGCTGATTACCCAAAGCATGTGTCCTCGCTACGGGGGCTTGATGGGCCACTGTGCCATAGTGTGGGTAAACCAGCTGTACAAAGCCTCTGATGTACGGTGCTTCTCTTTCAGATCAACAAACACAGTAACAAAAGTTGTCTTTTCTAACTAAAATACCATTTTTCTATTTAAAGTAAAAAAGATGACTCTCTGTGAAGTTTCTCTGAGGCTGTTAATCAATCTTTTTTAAACCAAAAACAAGCTTCATCAAAGGCGCATATGGTATTATCAGAATTTTTAAAGCTTCTACCTGCAGTCCAATTCTTCAAATATTCTTATTGCTCTAATGTGAACCAGTGAGTAGAAAAAATCCACTATTTTCTGTGCCTTTTTAATCAGGTAAATAAATTCCTTTAAGTCTTCCTACAAAGAGTAAGTTCATATTTACAAAAGTACAAGTATAATGAACCAGTTAGAGCAGAGCACAGCAGTGGGAAATCTAACTTCTTAAAAACAAGTTCCAGCTGAACCCAAAGTTCTGATGACTAATCAGAACCAAGAGCTGTGGTCCCAAAAAAGTACTTTGTTGCTCCCACCATTCATTCCATGTATTGCAAGCGGATCTGCAATACCCAAAAGAGTGTGGCCGAGGCTCCGCATTATACCAGCTAGTAAGAAGTCAGGGAGGGATGAAAGAAGGTCGAAAATATCACTTTGGGTCTCTAATTTTAAAGTTCAGAACAGCTTTTGACGGTCTTGGTATATCCCAGACTTAAACATTTAAAGCCTCTGTGAGGATTTTTTTTTCAGGTTTATGAAATAGATGGAAATTTATATCGATGCCTTTTTAGTATCGGCAACAACAGAGGCTTTTATTTTGTTATTTGTTATGGCTGGAATTGGTGCGAGGGGGTAGGATTCAGTGGAGCAGCTGAGGAGACAGCATTATTTCTACATTTTAGAGATCAAATATTCACAATTTATAATAAGCAAGAAGAGTTTTTTTTTGTTGTTGTGACAAGATGCTACTTTAAAAAGTAGAGATAAGCAAAGACTGCTTCGTCCACAGGGGGCGCCAAAATTCTCAAATCCATACAAACAGTCTATTCTTCAGAGTTAAAGCAACGCCCTAACCTGACAATTTAAAACACAATCTAAAATGCTCCAAAAATGTTAAACAGAGTCATATCAACATACTGAGTTTAATATTGGCAACATAAAAACATATAATGTTCATGTTGAAATCATGTAAAGATACTGGAAAATGTCCTTTTCTTTGGTGAGTTTGATCTGCAGGGCTCCTCCTCTGTTCATCAGACCAAACCTGCAGGGATATCCACTGCATTAAAACAGAACACACACACACACACACACACACACACACACACACACACACACACACACACTTGTGTATGCATGCACACACACTTGTAAGAAATGGAAAGAGAGAAGTCAGGGCGAGGAGGGAGATGGAGTGGGTTTAATGATTGTTCCCTGCATACAATCAGCTTGACTCTTTTCAAGGGCCATCAATATGTCACAGAGAGACACATCCGACGGATGTAGCTTTTAACATCAAGGTTATCTATTCTCGGCATGGATAGCCCCCTCCACTCCTGTTTCTCATCCCGTCGCCTTTGCAAATCTTCCTCCCCTCTCATTTCAACTGCTTCCACTCTTCTTTTTACTCCTCTACCCTCCCTTTCCCTCGATTTTCTCTCTTTGATTCCTCTCCTTCCCTCTTTGAATTCTCCTGTTTTCTCTCCCTCTCTTTATTTTTGCTTCATCTCCTTCCTCTAGTTTGGCCACTTAACCAACAATTCCATCAGTGCTGCCATCCATCAGAGCAAAAACGCAATAAGAAAAAAGCCAATTAACAAGGCAATTACACTTTCAGCATTATCTCTGAGGGCTGAAATAACACTGCTGAGCAGGTGGGGGGTGGGGTCAGCTGGGGCTGGGGGCAGGCATCCACAAGAGTTGGTGCAAGAGTGACTTATGGGCTTGGGGCGTAGGCTGCTGTGAGCCAGGGCTATTATTGTGGACACGATCTATCTCCGGCTGTCCTTTTATCAGTCCAGCCCAACGTCATGAGATGGAGTCGCCACCTCCTCTCTGTAGGGAGGCCTGCAGATAGATAACCCCCCTGTGTCCCATAAACCAACAGCCAGTGGACTGATTCAGCCTACTGAGAGACAGGCTGGCTCACACAGCACATTGCCATGCAGCCAAATGGAATTGTTTCACTTTGAATTGGTTTGCTGGGAATGTGTCTTAGTTTTTTTTTTCAGTTGGCTAATTATGAAACACAAACTTCAGAGAATAATCTGACTGAATACAGGAATATACTTTGTCTTTCTACCGAGTTTTGCAGAATATAGCGGGGTTATTTTAAAAAGGTTAGATTCCCTCCAGCAGTGTTCTGCAGCCTCTGCTGACAAAAACACCAAAAATAAGCTTGGATGATGCTTTCCCAATTGGTACATGACACTGTTGTTTTATTTTTTGGTGCCCTGCTGTACACAAAATAAATCTAACATTGCAACACTAGCAAGCTCTGTTGTTGACAAATGGGTATTGCCAATTCAAACCAATTTGACTACAGAACTACAGACGTAATGAAGTCTGAAAAGTGGCTGCTTGTACTTTTTCTCCAGAAAACACATCAACAAAATCCAGCTCTGAATAATGTCCTCTGTTTGTTTATTGTTGCTCTACATGATTAGCTTAACTGTCGAGTTTATTCACTTTGCAAACAGAATGAAAAAAATCTCAACATGCATTGAATCAAAGAGAAAATATCACCTTACTTAAAGCTCCAATAAAGAGTTTTAAGATTTTTTTTTATTTAAATAGACTCAAATTCATATTAATGAATTTTCTTGATATCCAAAAGCAAACAGATCATCAGACACAAGACTGAAGATTCTCATAAGCTTAGCTGAAACTGGTGTGAGGGGATAGGTGCAAGCCTCATAGCTGACAAATATGATAAGAAAAGCAAAGACTGTTTTGTCCACAGGGGGCGCCAAAACTGACACAAACATAAAGTTTTTCACAGGAGCTTTAATGAGAGCAGGAACAATGATCCATGTGCTCTCTTATTGTTAGTTTATGGACCAAGCTATTGTTGTGTTGAAACAGTTTACATTTAGGCATCTTTGAGTTTCTGTAATTAGGTGTGCTACCATGTTTTTTTTTTTAATGTATTCTGTTAAATAGGTAAATTTCATACATTTCCTGTACTCACCAGTAACAAGGAAGAAATTGTTTATCAATCTATTGTCATAAAAAGCCCCTATTTTCTGTGGTGCTACTCAATCTGTATATTGTTTTTCACATATTTGTAATAAAAGTCATGAGCTGATATTGATTGTTTGGAAAGACAGTGCTGGAGCGATTTTTCAGATTCCTCCAAATTTCATTTGTATAATCAAATCCATACAAACTGTGTATGCCCACTGTTTATAGACACAAACTTTGTCTACTGGAGCGAAAGAGAGAGAGTAACAAAAAAAGAGCAAGAGGGAACTTCACTCGAGTATAATATATCGATGGCACCTTCACGAGGACTATCTTATTGTCGTTTTTATGATGCACATTTCTCACAAAAGCGGTGATATTTTAATATGACATGTTGACACTAAATCCATTCTTACTCCATCTTTACCCCACTGATAGACTTGTCTGTCAATAAATTAACCATATAAACAGCTGAGGTGTCACCCCTCTCTCCTGGGTCTCAAACAAACTCCTGCGTGTAACTTTGGAAATGAAAGTGACATTTGTCCTCTCCCAATAAGAAATATTTAGTCCATTAAACATAAATAGCTGTCATTATGATGCATGCCCTGGGCTCAGGCCTTCCCTGTTCCCCTCCTGGCTGTTTACTGCGGCCAAACAACTGCAGCGCCTGCATGTTCTCAACTTCAGCTTATTGATTAAACTTTTAAATAGCTGCCATATAACCCTGGGACATCAGGAAGATTAATTTGCGTCAATGTTCATCTGTAATTCATTAGCCATTTATACTCTCCACATCCACACAGGCTATCAGGGAAATGCGGCCCATTTTTCACCCAGGCAGAGGCTGGGGAGACGGCAGAGGAAAAAGAGGAATGGAGGGAGGGCAGGGGAGACAGGAAGGTGGGGATAACGCCGCCCACAACAGAAGAGGAGTGCACACGGGACATCAAAACATCCTGTATATTTACTTTAACGCTGAAAAAAATCCCCAGCTGTAAACAGTGCAGAAAAAGATGAGGAAATGTTCCCACAATCAGCTATCAGTCGCTGAGCTGATTATAATTTACAGTAACAGTCTTGGGTTAACAAGCCCCTGTAATGATATACTTGTCCATCACAGAGAGGAAAAACAACATAACTGTTACTCTCTCTGTTATTATCGAGTCCTGAATGTCAGTCTCTGTAAATATTTCTAACCAGGCGGCTCAGCATGTTGTGGACTCCCTGTCAATCAATCGGAGGTCAGTCTGCTACTCACTGAAACAGCATGTTTCTTCTCCAGGATAAGTTAATAATTACAGCAATGTATTAACACTAGAGCTGCCCTCCAGAGTCTGAGGGTTAGAGCGAAACAGAAGTCTTCAACAGCATCTGAGAAAAATAAGAAATACTCAGAAACAAGTCTATGAGCAGATCCTTTGATTCATTTCATTGGTTGGAACTCATTTGAAATTTGGCTTCAAACTTTATATAATAGTTAGAGTCATGTTAAAGGCACTATGGGGAGTTTTTTACTGGTTGACAAACAGACTGAAACTGATACTTATGTCTCTCTGTGACCTTTAAAAGCAAACAAGACCATTAAAGGTGGGGTAGGCAGAAATCTGTTAAAGAAGCATCTGTTTTTGTGGTGAATATACAAAATTTTTTAATATTAGTCAATAGCTATTAGTTATTGATGACATTTGGGAGTATCACGATATCTCTGTGTTTTGTTATGTCTGTGTAGTCAACATTTTAATGTTTTTTGAGCGGCCCGCTCCTTCTGATTGTAAACAAAGCCATTCTCTGCCTCCCCCATCCTGATTGGTTGTGAGTCAGATGCTGCTCCCCCCGTGTGGTTCACGAGCCCAAACAAAGTTAGCATGCTACGATATCAGACAGTAGAAACCAACCAGAAAATTGTCTGAATCCTCCTTTGGCCATGACTGCCAACACAAGCAAAAAAATTAAGTAAATACCAGGGAATCTAACAGAATAATAGGCGCTTTAAATGAGGTAGACCGGACAAGAGCTAAAAAGTCGGATCAACATCAATGGAGCATAAACACTACGGGGACGCTTTGAGGGTTCTTTGGGGGTTCTTCGGGATCTTACTGACCTTGTAACTTTACTGCTGGACAGGTAAACCGCTTTAACAAAGTAAGCCAAGTGTCTGTAACAGAAGTGTTTCTTGTCAAACGGAATCTGCTGCGTGTTGTAGCGCCGCTAAACTGTTTACCTCGGGTCCTGGACTATGTCACTTTATCCTAGTTTTGGAAGTCCTGCAAACATTGTGTTTGCTGGTAGTCTGTTGACATCTACAATAGTACCAATGCTTTTTACTGTCACGTTGACTGGGCCCTATTTGTATATGTGAAGTATTTATCTGCATTATATCTAAATTTATCTAAAAATACGAGTGAGCAGGAGCGTCTGTTTGTGGGCGGGGCTTGCTGGAGCAGAGAAGGAGGGGAGAGGAGGAGCTGAGAGGAAAACTGGTTGGGAGGGGTAGAGTTTACATTAAGATTTCTCCCAAAAACTGTCACTTCCTCAGATCCTGCCTACCCCACCTTTAACAAAAAAGTGGATAATTTCCCTGACCTAATTCTTCATACCTGAAACTGTCATGAGGGGGTTAGGTGTCAGACCAGATGATTGACAGCAGGTTTACTATTCAACCCAATACTCCACAGTAAGTGATACATTACAACACTGAGAGACTTTTTGCAGTAAAGCTGATTATTGTGTTGCTGTTTTCTCTGCCTCTGTGATGTAGAGACGTTTACAGTGTCGATTTTAACATTCACAAAAACAGAAAAAAAATAACACAGACGGTTAAATTAGTATCATAAACTTGAAATGGGTTCGCTGATGACAACTAGTAGACCAGGAAACTCTCAAGCACCCATCCAAACACACTTTCCGGCTTTAATTCTCCCATCATTGCAACACAGTCATTCAGTAGGTGTCTGTTTGTTTCTCTGACTGCACAGGTAGGAGGGGGATTATTAAACTCTTGGTGTGGAAGTGTCCAAAAGTGAAACAGAAAGATATAGAGGGGAGTTTTAGGAACTGTGTGCATGACTCAGATCAAAACAACACAAACACGAGTGCAAACAAAGGATGGAAGTGTGTGTGTGTGTGTGTGTGTGTGTGTGTGTGTGTGTGTGTGTGTGTGTGTGTATGTGTGTGTGTGGGTGAGTTGAAAGATTTGCTATTGCCACAGGCTGATAGGCTGTCAGGGGGAGGTTGCTGGGTCATGGCTCAACCAGCTCTGATCAATACCAAGTTGATTTTGCCACATGATTCTCCTTAAAGTGCTACAATAACACACTCTGTATGTTTTATGTGCTGCAGGATCTGAAAGCTACAGTTATGGGAGCGGCCAGGTCAGAAATGATGAAAATTAACTGAGAATTGCAATTAATATGACAAATAAACTCATAAAATGAATGCTTAGACATGCAGTTGCGTGCAAACTGCGTGTTTCAGTTCTGTTTTGAGCTGATCAGGAAATAAAAAATGACACTTAATCACTGTCAGTTCACTAAATGGCCATAATCTAACACTTTAAATTAAGGATGGCATTACTCATTGATGGGTGAATTCCTGTTATAACCAGATGAATGCCTATCAGTCTCTGTATTTTAAACTTATGAGGATGGGGAGGAAATTGAATTCTGGGGCACATAAATTTTGACTGAAGAGAGAGATTACTGTTGTGGGGGGTCTGATGTAAAAAAAAAAAATGGTGAAATTAATTTCAGTGACATTTATTCCACATACAGCCAGAGGAGAACACTGGTTACAGTAGCTCTGCAAGCTGCAGATAAGAGGAGGGAGGTTTAAGGCGGGGGCAATCAGACAGTTTACAAAGTCCCCTTGTGGCGTCTTTCTCAAGGCATCCAACATCATGTAGACAACGTACTTTGCATACGAACACACACAAACTCTCCTGTAAGCAAAATAATGACAAGTATTTACTGCTCGAGCCACCGAAAGGGTTCGTCTACCCTTAGGGGCATAGGAAAGCGCTAATGACGCCAGTAATCATGCGCGCTCATTTTCTCCGTCAACAAGCGGATTCCAAATCACCACACAAGCACACCACGCCTTCTGACACTGATCGATTGTGTTCTTCATTACACCCAGGATTTCTAATTAAAAGAAAAGCACAGATAAGTGGTGCAAACCTCTGACCGAAATAGGAAAAAAAAAAAAAAAAAGAAGTGAAAACCGCAATTAGGGGTTTGGCTGTGTTCAGTAATGGTGCCGTTAATAAGAGCGGCTGGCGAGTCACTCAATGAAGGTTTAATCACTGGGACAGGATTCAATAACAAAAGAGCGTAATATTAATCACCAGAGAGTGATAACTTCACTGTTCATCTCTTTGACATTGGAGGAAGGGATGAATTAATGATGCTCTCCATCTGAACACATTAAATAATAATTATCAGGCAAAACAGCATGAAAGGGACTGCATAATGAACCCCATTGTCAGGTCAATTACAACCACATAAAACTGTTCAAAGGGAAGTAGCTTGTTACTCGATAGCCGCACTGGAAAGGACAGCAGTGGCTTTATCAGGGGAAGGTGCGCTCAACCTACGATGTCAGGGCTTTGAATGTGTTGAAGGATTGTAGCAGAGTTTTAACTTAGAGGGCACCGAGACTGTCTACCCTACTGTAAAAAAAAAAAAAGCAGCTAGGGACATTCAGCGAGGCGTTCAGCATCAAAAATTGGTTAGCAAAAGATAAATGACGTGACAATGACAGTGTTTTTCTGGCTCGAAAGCAATGTCAGTCGCTAAGTGCCATGTTAACTAAACTCAACCGCACAGACAATGATGGACTTCACGCGTCACTGGACAAAATGGCACCTCGCTACCTGTCAGTGGCAATTTCCATCAAATCAAAGATGGCCGGCAAATTTGGCCACAAGAGGAACTGCCGCTGGGGTTTTACACATGCATAAAAAAAAAACACGGGGTAATAAAGGCGTGCATTGTGGAGTAGTTTCTTCCTTCATCACACCATGAAATTGACAGAGTCTGTTCCTTCAGTTAGTGCCAGGTATGTCAGGTTGTCCTCTACTCTTTCTTTTTTGAGCTCAACATCAATTACCACATGGCTGCCACCACTCTGAGACACTTTCTTAAACAAACAGCCCGGCAACCTCCAGCGTGACACATATCAATACTAATCTGACGTCTTGTTCCACAGTTGTTTCCCTCAGACCTCTGGCTGGCTGCACCTGCCTGACCGAAGTGCCAAGGGTTGGCTGTACTCCTTCACACTTCCTTCCCCCGCAGACATCAAACACTTATTACTCCCCATCCAGGCCCTGCTAACTGACTGGCTTGTCTGGGCCACACGGGGACCCCATTATTAGAGTCATTTCAGTGCCCATCCTGACGCCTGTTAGGCAGTTCTCTACCTGGGGCTCCTGCTCCCTGCCTGCCCGACTGAGTGCCTGGCCAGCCAAACAGTGATTGGACATGACATGGTGACAGAAAACAGGGGAGAAGGGCAATAGAAATAAAAGAACAGAGATGGCAGAGTGAAGCAGACAGAGTTGGGGAGAGAGGAAGGTGGGTATGTTAGCAAGGGGCCCTCGTGGCGCAGGGCGTGCCCATCAACACGGATGAGCGTTAGCCGAGAGCCGCATGTCACAATGATGGAGGGGCCGGATCACTCACATCAGAGCTTCATCTGACTGGAAGATATCAATCTCCGGGCCTAATCTGAAAGGACATGGTAAAATATCCTTTAACATTGCTCTCCCATCCTGCCTTTGTGTGTCCCCTGCTCCTGTTTTTCTTTCTCTCTCAGCTGAAAATGTGTGTAACCTTCATTGCTGGACCTCAATCGACCACAGTCATTTTCACATCCCATTTCCTCTGTCTCCAGCACTGACAGTCAAATTATGATGGACAAAACAGCACCTTGACATACAGTGGTTTGCACACTTTGTCATGACATGTGGCAAGAGCAAGAAAAAGAAATACAAAGCTCAGATCCCTACATGGAAAAACTTTCAGATTAGGGATTCTGACTTTATCTTGTGAGACAGAATATTGATGAAAATTAAAACTTGAGGTAATACTTATTTTTCAAAACAAATACCAATTAAGCCAAGCACACTTAATCGACTGCATTGTTCAATAAAGAAACTAACACAATCCTGTACTTGAGTATTGATGCCGGAAACCAACATAGTCATCTTCCTATATTTACTTAATGAAAGACAAGTACAGTGTATAACGTATGTAGATGACAAAACTTAGTTTAAAGCTTCTTTGAGTTTTTTGACATTGATGAAATGGACTGAAATTCACATTCATGTCTCCATTTGATAAACAGAAGCAAGTGAGATCATCAGTGACGAGGTTGCTAGTCTATATATTGTAATTTTAATAGCCTGAATGTGGTGTGAGGTGGTGGGTGTGAAGAAACAGCCCTGTTTTTACTATTTCTACAATAATATTATTCATAATAAACTATAAATTTGACTCATAAAGTCAGCAGGATGAGATTTTTTCCTTTTACAATTCAACAAGAAGACATCATCCTGCCTTACAATAGCTAACCTTAATGAAACACCATGTAAGCCAACAGTAATATGCCCTTATCTTCTTTTTTTATATGCACAGCATTTAGGGCCTATGTCCACTGACAGTGTTTTTGCCACAGGAAGGCACCACAACCTCAATTTCAGCTTCCTAATTATAAAGGTCTCCTTATAGCACTTCTGTTTTTCCCAAGTGACCTCTAAGTCTTTTTGTGTCACCCTACATGCTTGATATTTTTTGATATCAAACTAAAGGTAAAACTGAAGAAAATGACAAGGAATAATTAACTAAAACAAGTCCAGTTAGTTTCTCTTCTGCCATCATTTTTGACAGATTTGATTAAAGAGGTACCACCCCTTCTTCACTGTAATTGGTCAGTATTGGAAGAGTGACATTGACAAGCACGGCAGTGATCCAAAAGTTGAATATTATCATCTTAATCAGCTACGATCAGTCCAAGTCCAGCCAACACTGTTAGTGGACACAGGCCCTTAAAGAACTTTGAAACACTCCACCAAAAGACGACCCTAAAAATAAAGCATTTGGCTAAATTAGCTCATCAAATATTCCTACAACTACATAAAGATAGATCAGCCTAATGTGAAGTTTTTGTATGTGTGCATTATGTACATATGGATTAATTGTCACAGTTCCACAGTACGTTGTATAAATAAATGGTATAAATTGTATGACTGTATTTTCATGCTCAGTGTCATGTAGCTGTATCCACAACATGAGTTAAGTGGTCTTCAATGAGCCACATGCAAACCAAGTGTTCTGTAAATTCCAGGTCACATGATTAAAATTATTCGCAGTGACATCATAACTTGTTCAAAATTATGGCTTTGCCAAATTGCATGCCGTCATGTCCTGCCAGATCTTTAACAAATGCAACCCCGGCGGCCAATCCGGTGTGAGGTAGAGGTGTTGTGTTGTGTGGAATATTTCATGTCCCTCTGGCCTCCCTCTGCCCCGTTCAGACGGATGGCTCCACTGTAACTCTACTTCTCTTAATTAATATGACATATCCCCCGTTCATATGCAGAGAGTGAGGGAGGGGGACACAAAGATAAAGGTATGAGGGGATGATTAACTGTGCATCTGTCCCCTGCTTGTGAGAAATGATCTCCCCTCTTCTGCTCTATCCAGTCCTCCCTCCCCTCCTCTTCTCTCTTCATTTCCGTCTCCCTCACTTTCTCCTCCTCTCTCTGCACTCTCCCCTCTCTCTTCTTGTTCGGCCTTATCTTCCTCTCTCTTACTCTCCACTGCCCCTCTCCTCTTCTTTCCCCCCCTGACACTCTCGGACAGTCCCCAGCCCCCTGCACATCTCCTGACAGGTAGAATAATAACGCTCGTACATCACTGCCCCGAAAAGTCCAATAACCTAAATCTTCACTTGCCACACACCCCGGGACTCAATTACTTTATTGACATGTAATCTTCATAAGGGGAGAAATATTGAGCATGTAAGGTCAGCCGGTTATGAAGACATATTATCATATTATCTGCATGAGGGTTGTAGGGGCTAGGACCTGACAAAGCTAATTATAATGGTACATGTTTCAGAGCTCAGAGCGTATTATCTGCTTGGCTGCTTGGTTGAGCCACAGCTGAGGTATAGAGGAGAAGGGGATGAGATTTCAAACCTAATAGGGGCTGGGTGTCATCTCAGGGCATGGGAATTAATGAAGCCAAATATTATCGACTGCACATCACAGCACTAACATCCTTGATTTGTTCGTCATATTTGTCAGGATTACCTTCGCTATAGTCTAATGGCTAACAGCAGATCACAATTCAAGCTGACCAAGGAGGTGATACAATAAGAAAAAAGAGATCCCTTCAAGTATTGTATGAAAAATCTGAATTTGCTGTTAGCGCTGAAGCTGAAATGTCACATGGGGTTAGTGATGGCAGGAGGGACAGATGCCCGTGGCTGTGTTATCATTCCTTTCCCAAGGTTATCTTAATATCGTCGTCCCAGCTGCCTGCTACAAAAACAATAACAAAAGCAATCACACAGCATAGTGTGAACTATGAGCAAAACAACGTGTAATGTAGATATTTCTTTACCATGAGGGTTTAGGCAGGAGAACAATAAAAGCAAGCTTGTTATTTTAATCATGAACACAATGGATCAGAGTGCACCGCACAAACAGTGGGCTAGCCCTGAGACATTGCATTTCAGGGTCACAGTGTGCACACAAAGACTCGCACCGCAAGACATGTGCACATGTTCATTTCACTTTATCTTCTACCATGCCCTCTTTCCCTATTTCTGTCCAATTCCTTAGCTTAGATCTGCAGCTGGAGAAGACGCCTAAAACTGCGCTGAGCTGCTGGCCAGCGCTGCCAAAGGTTACGTGTTAACTCTCGCTAATGGTGTCAAATGGAGAGACATATTTTTGCTTTCTTTCAGAGGTCTTCAGGCACTCAACACTCCAGACGATGAAAATTTACCACTCGCTTTCTCTTGAAGAAATTTGTTTTCAAAGTTTTCAATATTTAGTTTCAATTTTCCTGCACAGAGTCTTCAAACAGAAGAAAAGAATTACATCTTTCTGAGCTTATATACAACCGAGTTTGATGTAGACCGATTCTGAAGGTTTAGTTTTGAATGCATGCTCAACACGAGGAATGAGGAATGAAGCAAACAGACTTTTAAATCACAACAATCTGGGATAAATTCATGTTTGACCAAAACGACTCAGTCAATCCAATCATCTTGCACTGCAGCGACATAACATGCCAGAAACGATCTACGGATCAAATTATGATGGTGAAATAACTTGTCCGCTTGTATTATCATAACAGGGAAACCTGCTCTGTCCGTTTAAAGCAACTTAATCAGGAAATCAAAGTGACAGATTAAAAGGTTGCATTGGACTTTGAAGCATATCGGTGACCCTCTGGTCTTTTCATACAGGTTGAGGTGGAGTAATAATGCTGAAAAATAGGATGGATAGCAGTTAAAGTAAACAGCTCAGACACTCACATCCTGTCGTCCTTAAAGAGTTTGAGGAAGTCAGGACAAGCTGACCCATAAAATTTGCAACATTTGATTCATACTTGATATAATTCATTCAGTCGGCTGGCGAGCCTGAAGTAAATAAAGGCCCAGATCCTTACAGTGTTTGGGATAATGGTCCTCTCCCAGCCTGTTGCAATGAATAATCTAAATGGCACTTAATGTGAGCTATGCTGATACTCCAACAATAGTTTGTGCTCAGACATTGCAGCTTAGTGTCTCCCAATTGTATATTGATGCCCAGGCAGTTGACAATAAATCACTGGATTCACCTGTGAGTGAGAAAAACAGTTTAGACAACGGCCCAGTGGAGCTTACCGTAATTGACAAATGAGTTCAGCTCCTTCCACCACAATGGCTTTGGAGCACTGAGGCTACCTGGGTGTAGGTGTGTGTCAGTGTGTGTTTTTGTTTGTATGATATGGTAAGGCTGACAATACTCCAAATAAACAGCAGACACAGTTTTACCCGACTGGAACAACTGATCTTTGTACTTGATGTGTTCATGCTTCAGGAAATAACCACCCTTTAGTCGTCTTAAAACAACTGTGTTGTCTTGAAAACAAACTAATGGCTCGAGACTTTGCATATACTCCCTTATAAATCCCATTGAGTTTAACAGTACTGAACATTCTGTGCTACTACTTGTAAGACAGTGCAGCAGAATGGCATGACATTTTAACCCTTTTGGCCAAGAGAGCAAGACTTTGAAAAAATGCCATGTTTCGAATAGCTAATTTATAGTCTGTAGTGAGAATAGTTTCAAGACAACAAAAGTTCTATAGATCTTAAAGCTCCTGTGAGGAACTTTTGGTTTGTCAATTTTGCACCCCCTGTGGACAAAGCAATCGTTGCTGATCTTGCCCTCTTAAAATTTACATATAGTCTTTGACAAAACATCTTCCTTCCTCTGACTCTGTATGTCAAATATATCATTTCTTGTGAGTATTTTGTGTCGAAATTGTTTCAGCTGCTCAGCTGACATCTACCCCCACTCACCGCATTAAAAACTTAAAATCTAAAAATAGTCTTGGCCCTGATGGTCTTGTTTGCTTTTGGATTCTATGACGAGGCATTAGCATGAATTTCACTCTTTTCCACAAACACCAAAAGCATCTTTATGGTGGCTTTAAATCAATATTCAAATTACCATAACTCCCCAGTAATTGTGTCTTTTTATGGGGAGTTGGATTTGGTTACAATGCGAGCCTTATTTTTGTCCATGATCTCTTTCATTGTACCATCAAAAGATTTCTCAAGCTCCTATGAGCAAAGCTTTTCCAGGAAAGGAAAGAAAATCAAAGTTGATGGATTGAGCATCTCTCACAGTTTCCAGATTGACTTTTGGATTAGTCAGTGGAACTTTCCTGTACCTGCCTGTTTGGTGATGAATTGTTACCAACATTTAAGTCATGCTTCCCCAGAAATTGAAAAGTTGTTCTGATAATATGGCTTAGAAGCTGCTAAACTGCACATATATCTATCTTTGTATCCACATCTGTTTTTTGATGAGCACAATGTTATAACCATCAAAAACGATGGCTTGCTATAAACAACACAGATGGAGTACAATCATCTGTGAAGGTCTTGGCAAAGGTGTATCTGTGATTATTCAATGTGGGTCAAACACCGGTCCAGAATCTAGTTTTTCTCATTCTCAAAGAGCAATGCACTCTGTCAATGATGGAGTACTGGGACATCTTCTGTATGGGCATACATTATAAGACAGGTATCCATTACCTGGCTTTCTAACAGACAATCCAGCTGTATAATATTCTTGATCCTGATTGGTAAAAGCCTAATGACAGCAGTTATTAATTCACAATAGCAAAAGTGACACCAAAGACAACCTTCGTCAAATCAATCCAGGTGAAAGTCTGTCACAGAACACCTCTGCTTATCAACACTGAGGCCAAAACATCATTTTCCATTAGCATCAAAACAATTACTGTAGCAATCTGAATCAGTACAGGTAAAAAAAAACAGGAATGCCAATAACTGATTCCTGTCCTGCAATCCATGTCACCTACTAAGCCAATAAGTAACTGTTGCCATAGATGCGCTGTAGACATTTGAATCAGAGGCGCTTCTTTTTAAAGCTTTGTCACCTTAAAATTAATATGTTTTGTCAAATTGTTTATAGTCTAAGTTGGTAGCCGTGTAATAGGCAGGATGATAGATGCAACCACCTGCTCACTTTATAGTATGTTATCTCTCATAAGTGGATGGTAGTCAGTTGGACAGTTGGACTGGCATCAGGACTTAAATGTTGGGTCAACAGCTCTGTCTTAAGTATGATATGCAGTGGTGTAAACCTTTGTCTCAGTTTGTGTCCTGCATGTAAAGGCCACATTATATGCCATTACTGTATCGCTATACTGTATGCTATGTATATGCTATACTGTATATATCGGCTGATTTGTTCTCTTACTTCACTGTGTGTTGCTGTGTAACTTAACACTGCACCCTTTGACTCATTGCATATTAGTGAGTCCATGCCATGTATATCTCTGTTACAAACATGCCTGACAGAGAGGTTCAGTGATATCGCTCAGCTGTTAAGTCATGCAGGATGTGTTGTCACCCAGCATGATAAACTGGGCACAGAGCGAATTGGAATCTAATTTGTCAGAGCCATTAACCAGACTAGCATTAAGGCATGTTTTCATCTTGAATGATTACTGGGTGAGATCAGTTACCCTTGAATTATGATCTACAGCTCTCTCAGAGTATAATTCATTAAAAACTCCATGATTAAAACAAATGATCCCACATAAACCAACAAGACAAAATGTTTAAAAAAGCCCTGAGTCTAATTTTGCTAACTTGCTATAATTTACAGTCTAAAATATGAGCATTTAACATCCTCGGTAATGTACACTGATTACAAAGCTACAAGGACTCGCTGAGGTCTGACCCTGTCTCCTTTAGCATGACAAGTTGTCCAGCATCTGCCAGCATGTAAGCAGCTATTCATCAGAATGAAGGGTAGTGAGCCCCCTCACACCGACAGACTCCGCCTGCTCACCAAGCAATTTGTTTCAAGGGCTACTGACACAGAAGAAAACTGGTGGACCCAACATCCATCCTGCTGTAAAAATATCCAAAACCATCTGGCAGCTAACCCCCATCCTAAATTACTGTGATGGACTCCCAGCTTTGGAAACCATGAAGACTGCACAAAGCTGCTCCAACTCCTGGCTGCAAGTCGGACTGGAAAGCACAGGCCGAACCTAAGATATCCCAAACCACCACAACAAATCATGCCGGGAAATGAATAATTCTTTAGCTGCACTAGCAATAACAGAACTCAGGGCTAATTCTAGCAGTCAGGCCTATTCACTTTGGATGATTTATGTTCTGCTACTTTCCTTGAAAATGACCAGCGCAACTGGGAAGAAGACCAAGGTCCAAGAGAGCCAGAGGTTTGTTTTTCCAAGAGGGCTGGGCCTGCCTGGAAGAAACTCATGTCCTTGTCTATCATTCTGAAATATTTGGAGGAAAAGTCAAACTTTTGTCTTTTTGGGCAAGTCCTTCTGGGTTAGTTTCATCATAAATTAGAGAAGATCTGTTTTCTATTCTAAAACCTCGACATGTGAAATGGCTGACACAGACCACCCCTCTATAAATGCAATAATTAATACAGATCGCATTAGAGGAAAATAAAGGTTTCTGACACTTTGACAAGTTCTCAGCTAGCACTGCACTGTTGTTGTTTGCTCGAGTTATACAGTAATTTGCATGAAAACTTGTGTATTTTTCATTTTAGTATTGAACAATCACATTAACTGGAGTACTTGCCAGTCCAAGTGCTGTATTTTAAGCTACACTGTAAAATGTGATTTTGACGGTTTGTTATCCTAACATATCCGATGTTAGTAGGACAAGTGATTACTGAGGTTGTTAAAATGACGTGAAATTAAACGTCTCAATTCAGGTCCACCTGAATTAGTAATTTATGTCCACTTGATTTTAGAGACAGTGTTGGGATTAAAACTCCTGCGTCATCACCTTTTTGTGAGTTGCAATGCATTCTGCAGAGTCTGATATGACGTCAAGACAACTCTGTTTTGAATAACGATGGCTTGTCCACAATGGTGGTTGACTGATATCAACTGATGGACTGATAATCACCAGAGTTCATTGTAATAGTTGGGAGAATTTACAAGTTTGATTGCAAGTTTGCAGGAACACTGGGGCTCCATAAAACTGCAGCATAACCTACTTGAGATGAATAATATACAGATAGAAAGTGTCTAATTTGTTCTGTGAACTCTTCTGTCATAATAATACAATAGCTCGGATCACCTTAGTCAAAACAGCACACTTTAAACTTGGCAGTGAAACACCCCTTATTAGGGTAGATGATCACAGAGAGTGATATTTACTTTTATATCACCTCTGAGAAGAACTTACTAACAAATATCTTGGAAAAACTCTGAAGCTGACAGTCCCATCTTTCTACTTAAAGTTTTGGCTGTATACATCCAACATCAGTTAGAGAACTCAAAACACTCAGGAGACTCTTTCAGCTACATCAAACGGCAAGGTAAAAACAATAGTGTCAGTGACATTTCCCCAAACCCAGCACAAACAGAATTATTCACACACTGTGAGAGGAGTGCCATCCGATAACGGAGAGATAATGACACTTGGATGAAGGCAGCTTTCTAAAAACAGTTTGGAGCTGGCATGTCACAGTTTGGCAGTTAAGCCTGTCATGGAAGTAGAGGAGGTTATCCTGGCATTTTAATCTAACCTCCTTCTGAAGGGGAAGGCATAAAAGGTGATTTTCAGGGTTAGCAATAACAAGGACGGGCCTGCCTCCAAAAATGAGCTCTCATCACTCTGGATGTGGGCAGTGCAGTGTTTTGCGAAGCTGCGGTGAAGGATTGCAGGCCCAGTTTGCCTCTTCCCCGCTCGCCTCATCCATCTCCATAGACCTGCTTTAATGGATATTCATGTAGCCCAGCCAATCCACTCCTGGGAGGAATAATACCACATCATCTGACTCACAAAAAGGAAATAGAGCCTGTCCTCGTGCACAGGGAGTGTATACCACAGTGATGTGCTGTGATATGCTGCAGGAGCTTCCTCCCCGAAGAATAGATTGATGTGATTGTGGCTGAATTTTCAGGTTTCTGTTCATTCATTGCAAATCTGGATAAGAAACGTGTTATGGTACGAGTTTAGGAATTAGTGTCCAGTTTTGTCTGTTTGACTTATTAACATATGAAATCATTTTCATACAAAAACATGTTTACTTTGACAGCCCCTGAGGATAAGTGGGTTTGTCCCATCTGTTTAGATCTTCTGTGAGGAACTTCTGGTTTGCATAACTTCTGAAGCCCCTTATGGTTAAAGCTGTATGTTTCTCTGTTTGCTCATTTTTCTTCGAATTGTCAAACCATCACATGTTGAGAATCTTAGCCGTGGAAAGAGTAAAAACTTCCTGTATGTTTAAAAAAGTGTATAATAACCTGATTATTAAAGAATATTTTGTTTTGTTAACTTATAATTAGCCCTTTTTTGACAACATAGAAGCAGGTCTCCTTCCTTAGAGGCTGCCATCTTACACAAGCCTTTTTCTACAGAAACACAGAATGGACAAACTAGTCACAAAGAAGATAAAGTGATTATTGATTTGTGCAAAAGAGTTTGCATTGATAAACATTTCTGATGGTAAAATTTAACAAACTGAGGATTATACTCATAATGCCCCAAAGAGGCTCTTTGTCTTTAAAAGGCCACGGTTGTTTCACCAGAAGGGGGTGAGCAAGGGAGCTTTTGATCTAAAATCTGATCTCTAAATATTCCCACTGCCTTTCAAACCTGAGCAGTATTTATTTAACTATTTATTCATCTTTTAATACATTTTTGTAGAAATGGTTCCCTGAAATTTACTGGGATTTGGGTTCCAATAAAAAGCCAATCTCCTGATTCACATTAGACACAAAGTTCAGCCTCTTAAAACTGTTATGTTATAAAGATATATCATAAGGAAAAGTCTTTCATTCAAAATGTTTCATATACTCTTTCTGAAGGGGAAAGTTTGCATGTTTACACAGACCTTTTATGGGTTTAATTTTTTGGCTGTATGTTAAAGAAAAGCCGACAGTGGGTCTTTGAAACATGTCTCAGACACTTCATCAGCTGCAAACTGGCAAAGACAGCAAAGAAATAAAAGCTTCATGCAGTGACGAGTGCTGGGGAAACAGTTTTATGGACTCAGTACCCGGGAAGACGGCCACGTCTTCACTTTGTCAATGCACCTCATCCAGTTTGATGCAGAGGCTCACTCAACACAAGGTGATGGTGCATAGGTGGCTGTGAGATCTGTTTATATAAATTACTCTTTGATAATATTTCATCATCTGTCTTTTTCTGAAGTTGACTGCACAGTCTAAAAGTTACAAAAAGCAGATCTGCAAAGGCCACTCTGGACCACTGAGGAGGAAAAGCTTACACTTTGGTCTTTCCATATGCCTCGCTTTTACTTTTGCGGGCCAGCGCAAGTCTTTGTTTTCGAGAGTGATGTTTATCAGGGGACAGATCCTGCTGGAATAATCATTACGAGGCTGAGTGAAATGTCTTACAGAGCACGTTTGTGTGTCTAAATGGGAAACGTCAAAGGTGCTCTGTCTTTTCTCACCGCCTTCCAGAGGGGAAATTTCCATACTCATGCAACATGCTGAGGCAGTCCAAACCAGCATGGGAGGATTATCAGCAGCTTTATATCAAACTGAAGAGTGACATCAGACAGAAAAGGACAGAACCAGTCAAGGTAAGCACGAGGAACAACGCAGGAGTAAAGAAACAGATGTCTGAGGTTATATATCAGTTCATTTACCAACGATCCTGTGATCAATCGCATGTGTGTACTTGAACCAACAGAATTTTTGGACAACTAATGTTTGTATTCATATCAGATCTAGTCTAATCTACACTGATATAAATATATATAATCAGTTTTGATTGTTATACAAGCCGCAGACATTAGGGAGCTTATTTCTGTTTTGGTGTATCGCCTCTTTTCAAGCCATCAAACTCACTTGAAGTTTTACCAAGAGCTTGTGCTGCGAATATTAAGTCATCCGTCAAAGTAACAACCTTTCCCTTCATATTGACAACAGCTAAGTTTCAACACTACCGGTTTTGTCATCCATTAGTCATGTATCCCATCCAGATGTCGGGTGGAGGGAAGGAGGGGAGGAGTGAGAAAGCAGCAGGTGTAGATCTCTCTGAGCCCAGCTGAGCTCTAAAAGGCAGTGCTTAGCACCCACAGCTCCGTCATCTGGCCTCTCCCCTGTCTCCGCCAGCCTTTCGACAGCCCATTCCTCATCATTTACCCCTTTTTGGCAAAGCCCAGAGCCTTTCTAATGGGCCGCTCTGAATGCTTCCAGATGTTTGTTTATTTGTTGTTCAGCAACTATAAAACAGTTTACTCTTAGTTTGGATCTGTTCCCAATTCTCCTTTTTTTTTTTTTAGGGAGTCAAGGGGGGAGTTGTGGTGCAGATCATCCCCCCACCCCGTCCCCAACAAATGTGAGACACCCCATGGGCGTCATCAGGAAGTTTTTTTTCTTCTTTTTGCTTTGAAGGCTGCTTTCCTCATGGGATTATAATAACAGTTGTGCACCATTTAAGATACATACATACAAAGTAGCTGGAAGCAGGCCCAGAACAAGAAGATTAAAAGGGCCCAGGGCTCACACTGTAAGGCAGATTTCAGGCGTTTTCCTCGTCTGTTTACTCTGCTCCAACAAAGATATCTCTTTCATTTACTGCTGTCACTGCTGAGGGAAGGCCTGCTCAAATTTCATCTGATACCTGAAAAACTTGTGACTAACATCGGTCTATTTACTGAAAAACACAGCAGAAATGAAAGGTATATTTTATTAAAATCTCGCCCTCCTCCTCCTCCTCCCTGCGCATGAATATCAATCAAGTCTGAAGCATCTCTTTTACATCCTTGTGAACCACAGTTATAATTAGATCTATGAAATAAACCTGTGAATCTCACTTCAAACTGTGTCATCATGAGGAAATGACAAGCTGGTAATAATTAACCCGGTGCATTGTTTGCATGCTGGGATGATAAATCTTTATGTTACGGCAGAAGAAGAAGAAGAAGAAGGCAGTGCAGCAGCTTCAGCAGCTAAACCAGCGTTCATGAAGACATGCAGCACTTTGGGCTCGGACTCCATTTTGGACTGTTTAGATTTAAAGTTGAGCTGACAGTCGGACCAGCACTAAGACTTAGAGCCAAGGTGACAGTAGTGGAGGATCCTCGGGCCCCTCTGCCAGACCATATACTCCACTCCACTCTGTGTCATGCCTCCACCAAGACACACTAAAGCCCCCACCATGCTTCCTTGCTTTGTCTTTTGTCTGGTTCCCTCTCATTCTCGAGCCTCGTCTTCTTTTACTTCTTAATGCCCGCACTCTTCCTGTCTTCTCTCTCCTCTTTATCATCCTCCTCCGTCCATCTACAAAATCTTGATTAAGTTTCAACTCCGACGACAGTAGATCTTTCACTTTCCTGCCGTGTTTTGCTCTGCCTCCTCCAGCTGTACTCCCCCACTAACAAACACACAAGAGCTTATCCCGGAGTTGTGTCCTTGCTCTCAACCCCTCTTTCCCTGGGCAGTGACCTGCCAGCGCTGCCCTCCTTTGGGAGCTCCTAGCTGCTGTAATTACCTCTGGCACCAAGGCTCTGGGGCTTCCACACAGGTGACACATTGGAAGGAGGGGGGGAGTAGTTGCAGAGGGGTTGAAAGAAGGAGAGGGAGGTGCTCTCTGTGCAGCCGACAGGGTGATGTCAGATGTGCTGCAGATCTGGAGTTCGTATGAAACTACAGAGCCTCCTTTTTCCCCATGAAAAAGCCAGATTTAAAAACCTTTACATGAACAAGTGTCACTGTATATTCAATTAAATGTTTATTTGGTTGTTTGCTTCCTTCTTTTGGGTTATTTAAACCACATTTTCTAATCATTGCACTTGCAATACACAGAGAAGTGTCTGTTCCCGTGTGCTGGTGAGGTTTCTCTGCACTCAGGCGCAGAACAAAAGATGTACCTCACATGTATGCACAAACAAAACAGAGCCGGATATACAGAAACACCAAAGAACCAGTGTTTTTTGAACAAACTGTGTAAGATCTCTTCAATTTCCCATGCATACAGCAAAAGGAGTGTTGTTTAAGTACATCAAATCCTGCAGGATATTCTTTCAACCCCATTGTCTTTTCCCTGATCTTAATTCAGTAAACGCACAGTTGTTTGGAATTACTGTCTGAAAGAATTTGTTTGTTGCAGCATTGCTCTTCCTCGGCTTTGTTCTCCATGAAAGAGGAGTTACTGTGACCGTCTCCAACACATAAAGAAAACTGGAGTATGTCTAAGATGTGTAAATAAAAGAAAACAAATAACAAAGAGCCGGGGAAGAGGCTGGAGGCAGGGACATGAAGAGGAGGTGAAGGGCGAAGATGAGGGCTGTGTTATCTAAGACTGCAGCGCTGCATCATAAAAATAACAAATGGAGCCTGTCAGTGCTGTTCAGATCTTAGACGGAGGGGGAAATATTTCATGTGTCAGATCCCCTCACCTTTAAATGGACTGTTCTTAGCCAGGTCTGATTGTGACAAAGCGCTGGGCTCTTCCTGTCCTTACAAGCGGGGAGAGCTGCCACCGTCCACGCTTCCATGACATAGATCTGTCCTTGGCACTGTTAACGTGTGTGGGGGGGTGGAGATGCTCACAGTTGACCTGTTGTGCTGCTGTAGAGGTGGTCAAACCATGGAGGGGTTTGCATTGTGGAGACCGTGATAAATGTCTCGGTAGGAGAAGTGCGGGTAGGGGGTTTCGCAGAGACCGCCATTAAAAAAGGGGGATTTTGTCAAACATGTGACTCCATATAAGAGGTGTTTCGTGTTAACCATCTACTGACTAAATCTTGTCATCTTCTTTAGCGAACACCAGAATAACTGGTTGGTTTAGATGGTCGAAGGGCAAAAACTGACTCAGTGCTTTGAATGGATTCTGGGATATCTAACAACAGGGTGTAGTGAATAGACATAGACATGTTTTTTTTTTTGGCAACAGTCACGAATGTTCATGTGGATGTGCAAGACAGGACGAGGCAATGCTACAAATGTTCTCAGCCTGGTTGGGTGAACTCAGTATGAGCAAAAAATGTGAAAAAAAACCCTGATCTATTCCCTTAGGTCGTGTTCACACCAAAAGTTCAGTTTTCTGATACGAACCAAAGCAAGGATGGTACATTGAAGATACACTGTTGCGATTTCTAAACTGGTCCAGTTGGAGTTCACAAATGTCAAACTCAAATGGTCCAAAAATTGTCATGTGGCACCGTCCATTGATTGTTCAAACAGTTTAGGCAGGTAGATGACATCCCTCACAATTTTTACTGAACATCATGGAGCATCGTTTGCTCATTTTTATGTTGGCATTTCCTGTGATTGGTGTGAGTGGGAGTTCACACCAGAAGTAAACCGCTCTAGAGTTCACTTGATAGCGGTCCGAGACCACCCCAACCAGGCGGACCAGAGAGCGGTTGACTGATCAGCACCAGAGTTTAAGGCCAGCGTTCATACCAACCAAAACGAACCCCACCAAAGGGTTCAGTTCAACTGGACAAAACAAGGCTGGTGTGAACGCGACCTGAGTCTGACTGAAATGGACTTGTGAAATCATGTAAAAACATTAATCTGACTGAAATTGCACTGAATTAAACTTCTTAAAGTCAGACTAACATACCTAGATTAACCGGTTGGGGATCATTTTTCTCCTCCGTGTTTGTGGCTCTTTAAGACAGAAACTGGCCAAAGTGTTCTGCGTGTGCCACAGTGTTTGGACAACCGGCTTTTAAGATGAAAGTTGAATAGAAAAAAAAAAACCTTGATAGATGAAGACAGGATGTAAAAGAAGACAAAACTTTCCTAACAATGGCACAAAATTGTAAGAGTGACAGTGCTTTCTTTGACGTACATCCCATTAGCCTCTTGCTAATGCATTTAGTTGTCTAACTTGACACATAAAAGGTCACCTGCCATGATAACCTTAAAGTAATGCGCTGAGAGAGAGCATGTCGCCATCTAGGTGGACGTGCCTTTGTCAATAATCCAATTCTTGCTTGGTGCTCCTAAACTGGAACAATGACAGTAGTCCAGTTAAATTAACTAACTGACTAATTGCATGAAAATGTCTAAGAATTATATCTAAATCCTTCTTCAGAGATAATTAAAACTTCATTTACACTGACTGACAAAAGTATCAGTGAAAATGTAAACAATACTGTTTCTGCAGTGCATCACTTCTATAAAAGAAATACCTTTACGCTGATGATAATGTTTTGTTTTTGAGTGTCATGTTGAAGTATTCATTATAGTTTGTTCCATAACCAGCTAAAAGGTCTCACAGGGAGGGCACTTTAAGTAAACAGCTATCACATCTTATGTTGGTGTAGTATGATACGTTGAATTCAACAGTTTTAAACAAAAACCTCACAGTTTGAATTCAAACTCTGCGTCTTTTAATGAATATGATTTCTCAGTCAGAACTAGAGTTCAGTGTTTGATGTTTAAAAAATTGCTGCACAATTACATCAACTGACAACGCCGGGTCAATATGAGGTGTAATCAATGTCTTGTATCCGCAGATCAAGGATGTTTCATCTAGTTTATACACTCAGCCCTCCCACGCACACATTTAGATCAGAGTTAACCCAGATTACTCAGATTTATTAACACTATGAACACATCACACAGACGAGATGAGATCAATAAGAATAGAGAAGATATCTTCAAACTGGTCTCGAGGTCAATAGATTCCCACTCTCTGTAGCGGTTTGGGGTTATGACTTATATTTACATAATCCTCGGGCGTTGTTTAGGATTGAATGTATGTATATGATAATAATTTGTACTGTCTGCTTGATTTTGAAGAGTATTTGAGCAGATGTAATCCACCTGACAAAAAATGCTATAAAGCCCAAAGGTCTCTTTCCTCTTCCTTACCTTTGTGGTTTCTCGCATCTCTGGATCCTCGGGGTAGAGGAGTATAGGGCAGCTGCTGACCCTCAGTTCCAGCCTCATTAGGTGGCTAGGAGAGAGAAGACAAACAAAAGGAATGAGGATTTAAAACAAAAAAGGTTTGATAGATATAAAAACCACAAGTGTCATCACCGCTGACGCTTTGAGTTAACTTCAGGAAAGACTGGAAACACTGCTCCTGTTTTGTGACTACTTGTCTGTTCGGGAGCTAAAGTCCAGGCTTTGATGATCTGATATACGACATGGTGCAGGAGAGGTCTTAACCTTCACTCAGCCATGACCTCTTGCAGTGGTCAACCAAAGGGTAGACGTCACTCACTCTGAGCGGACGAATGCAGCCTGGTGATGTTAAGGTAGCCACAAATGGCAACAGATGACCTCTCTTTACTGGTTTATGAGAAGTAATGCCATTTGCATCTGCTTGACTGGCTGTATTGGTGGTATTCAACCCCTTTTGGACTATCTAGGGTTCAATTCATGGAATAGTTTACCTTTAGGACTGCTAAATGAATCCTAATTGTTTGTTCAGTAGAAAAATGTTGGTCTGATTACCTATTGGCTGATATTGATGATCATTTTAAATGATTTTGATGATTTAATCTTATTTTATTAAAATAACCTAAAAGAAATGCTCTAATCTATTAACAGGCCCACACAAGCTGGAATTTGCAGAAAATGTATAGCCAGTATTCGAAAGAAGAGAGAGGAGACAAATCAATCAAGGCACCAGGAAGGTTGTCAATGCATCAAGGATGTATTGATCATCAATAATCGTGGTCCAGTTCGATAAAGTAAGTATATAATACTAATATACTGTTTGTTTCTTTACAAACTTTCCTCAGAATTTCTGATCCTCACAAGTGCATAAACTGAAATACAAAAATATCCTACGCATTATGTATTAATTCTTGCTGTTTATAAATTTTATAGGCGCGTCTATAAACCGGCTGGCATGTGTGTGTGTCAGTGGTTTAGATCAACTGGTCTCACTCTGGGACCCACATTTTCCCATGGTCCTTAAGTCACAACCCACTTTTATAAAATTAAAACCAAGCAAATTTAGTTTTTATAAAAGTAAAACCTTTAAAGACTCAAATCTATAACATAAATTGGGGCTGGGCGATAAAATTATAACAATATACATCGAAAATTAATTTCCCTCAATAACAAAATAAAACATGGTCAATATCTTTTTCGATTGTCTGCATTCTTCCATGTTTTGGTAGACTATACGAATAGCCAATGAAAAAGAGAGTTGCTCTGGGACCGCATCACGCTGAACCAATCATGTGCGGAATTTTTCAAAATAAAAGACATGTCAAACATCAGATGCGCATTAAATACTTCCTTTTTGACCAGCTGTCTGTGACCCATACAGAACATGTCCCAGACCCACTCTTGGGTCGGGACCACCAGTTGAGAAACACTGGGTTAGATAATACATACAGACATACAAACAAACCCTGGAATCTCTTGGCTCCATGTCATAATCATTCACTCGATAGTTTGTTATAGTTCACAATAAACACCGTCATTTAAATCCAGTTGAATGTGAAGTTGTTGCAAAAAGAATCGTAGGGTAAGTACAAGAAGTGCAAAACACGTTATTTTAATATGAGGTGAATGTGCCGATTAAAAGCTAGCTTTGCAAAGGTCTACGAAGAACCAGTGTTGAAAAAAAAGCTCCTTTGAGCCAAAGAGCAAACAAAGAGAAAACAGAGTCCTGGATCTCAGCGCATGTTCCCAAACAGGTCAAGAGTTTCTGGTGTTGTTGTTCTTTCTGGTAGACTTTCAAGGTCCAAAACATCCTCTTCCTTCCTTTAGCCTTTTAGCTAGTAAAGCAGGCCGTTTATCATGACACAGCGATATCTGATGCCTTTGCAGAAAATACTTTCCTCTCCTGCAGGAAGGAATTCTCCGGCCCTTTAATCATAGCAAGAGACTCAACTGACAAATACATATTAGAGATGGTTTGGAGCTGCATTTTTCCCACTTTTATTGTTGTTCCTCTACATGCCCATGCATAACCTTGAGAAATGGAACGGCCTGCACTCTTAAATGGAACCATATTCTTCATGGGCTAAGAGAGAGCACTGTGAATTGAAAACGATCACATAATGTGCTTTTTAGATAGCATCTCTGAAAGGCATTAAGGTCTGGCCAGCATGTGTCTCATATTACAGCGCAGGGGAAAAATGGCAAAATAAGCCTATCTGGAGACCTCACCGCAGATATGCTGGTGGACCCATGCTTTTGGGGAGAAACTGTTTGGAATAGAAATACTGTTTTGACAGCAGACCTGCTGCTCCCGGCTTGTGGAGTGACTGAAATCTGTTAAGAAATATCGCAGATCGCTATATATTTGTATGCTGTGCTTGTTCGGCATGTGAAAAACAAGAAGTTAAACAACTCCAAACAAGAATATGCTGTACTCTCTGAAAAATCTGACAGTGAACTAAAAACAATCAGGTATTTATATGCAGTTATTTTCTTTCTGCAGCTGTGGCTCAATAGATACTTGAACGGGTTATTTATCTCAAACCATCCTGTCTACAAAGAGGCTCTTTATTGTTGTGATTATTATGAGCTAACAGAGCAATTCAGGCAGAAAGACAGAGGTTAGCCCTCTCTATTTGATCTACCTCCATGCTCTTCTTATCCACAAAGTCGCACCCCTGCTTGCTTCATTTCCTGGCCTGCTTGAAAGATCACAAGCCTGGGCCTCTTCTAGCCTGCATGCCCCCCAAAAAAGCCCCGTCTAATCCTGCGGCTTGCCCACAATTAATCTTCCTTGTTGCCATGTCATTAACAGCACCACCCACAGACTGTGTAAAAAGGGGGTGCCGGAGGAGGAGAAGGAGTGGGAGGACACTGGATAGAGCCTTTGGCTGCCTCCACACTTTGGTTTTGCTCCTATGGGAGGTTAGTTGACTTGCTTCAAGTATCACCACCCACCCAGTCCCCCCCCCCCCCAGTGCTGTGCTATGCATGACACCACCGCTTCACCTCCTCCGTATCATGCCTGCTGATCAAACAGTCAGCTCCATTCAACATCTGTGGTTGTCACTTCCCGTCCCATCCAGCAAAACCATTTCACCCCTCCCACAGAGCATCAATCAGCCGGCTTTCCCATGTCCCAGTCCTCCCTTTCCTCCTCCTCTCAGACCGTCTTTCTAAGAGCTCCACATCTGCACTCTTTTATTCAGTCAATGACCTGTCCAGAGGATGAGAAGCAGCAGTGATTATGATGAGAAAGCATGTGGAAAAAAAGTAGAGCGAAATTTCTCTTCTTTTACTTCAGGGGGGAACTATCTTAATGCTTTCCACAGGTGGACAAAGAAAACTCACAGCAGCTCTAACAGCTATAAGAAAACACTTCCTCACTCCCCACCTCACACGCTGTATTACTCACAAACACTCCTCTCTTAAGCTTCTTCTTTCTTTCCCTCCGTCTCCCCCCTCTTGTTTTCTCATGGTTGTTCCTACACTGAACAGAGGGAGGTGCTGCTGTGTCATCTATTTAGGATACTCCTGGACCCCTTCCTTCCTCGCTCCTCTCTCTCTCTCAGTCTCTCTGCTGTCCAGATTAGTCTGCTCATCAAGCTGAGCATTGTTTTAATTTGCTGGGCCCGGGGCATATGCTGAGTGTTCACATCATTATTGTCTCTGTGCAATGTGAGTTATCACCACAGCTTATGATAATGCGGCACAAATTTACAGGCTGGGGGAGCACTGTGGATTCTGTGATAATAAAGGGTGGACAGAGGGGAGTGGAAAGAGGGAGAGAGAGAGATGAAGAAAGTATGTGTGTACGCCTGTGCACGTGTGTGTGTGCGAGAGAGAAAATGGGTGGCGGCAGCGAGAGGAAGCTCTGCTGGATGTCATTATGAAAGATGATTCCTGTACCGGATAATACATCACACCAGCGCTGTCTGTCTTCTCCTTTTCGGTGTTGTTATGCGAATAAATGCTGATAAACCCAGAGGCAAGAGTGATTATTACTTCCAACATATCACCACGAGAGAGGCGAGGGAGGGATGGAAAGACAAGGAAAACACAAAGAGAGCCACATGGAGCCACAAAACCTCCTCCACAGCGGGGTTCCTGGAAATATAAGATACCAAAAAGAGTAAATCGGGAGAGGTTGGCTCGGATCTCGGTGTTATTTTAGATGCAACTGCGACAAAGTTTGGAAAGTTTGCGAGATTAGCTGTCATTTTCAAATCTTGATGGGCGTTATGTTACAGCGTATGAAGCTGAGATTTCACAGGAATTTGATTGTGGCTTTGGCTGCGCAAAACTCCATAAAGAAACTATTCTGCTCAAACTGTTTTCCTTCCTTACAGCCCGGCTCTGAGGTTTCACCCCAGCCAGTGTCATCCCCGACACAGGTGGTTCCTGCATTGCCTCATCTCACCTCCCTCCTTAAGACTGACCGGCAATACAATCTAATTACAGCCGCGCTACAGAGGGAGACCAGTGTAAACACCAGGCCTTTTTATCTCCTTATACATCTGGACAAGTAGACAAAGTGCTAAAAGGAAATAAATGTGGCCTGACAGCCACATCAAAGAGTTCAGCCAGAGGCTTACTGCTACTTAGGGCACAGGAATGTTGTTGCTAAGCATCAGCCCGCAACCTATCAGGGTGCAAAGAGGGCCCTGTCCTGCCTTAGAGAGGAAGAAGGGGAAAGAGAGAAGAGAAGAAGAAGAGAGAGAGAGAGAGAGAGAGAGAGAGAGAGAGAGAGAGAGAGAGAGAGAGAGAGAGAGAGAGAGAAAGAGAGCGAGGAGGGAGGGCAAAGGGAAGAGGAGGAGGAGGAGGAGGAGGAGGAAGGGGGGGCTGACATTGAGGGGAGGCTAGGGACTCAAGGAGATTTTTGTAGCTTAAAGCAATTGTTGGAAGAAACAAGCCTTCTGTTTTGTTTTCTCTTGACACCACTTCTGCTTTTTGTGCTTGCAAAAGACATGTATAAAAATGTCTTTTGATATGTTTTCTCTTTGGGTCTATATCAAAATATTTCTTTTGTGTCTGCGCATGGAACTTTTTTCTTTTTATGCACGTCTTGTCTCTGTAAACTGGTGCTGCTTTCTGATCATGTTAGAGATCAGAGGAGACACAACTTGTGAACTTATTTGAGTCAACATTTAATGCTGGCATGACACGTTTATTTCTTCACTAGATGGAGTTTTTTTTGTGCGTATGTGTTTCAAGTCTCATGCTTGTGAAGTTAGGGGGTTACAAAGACTGGAGCACTTTTAGAAATAAACAATGAAAAGAAAAGAAAAGAGAGACAGTAGCTTGCAGCGTGTTACAGCATTTAATCGCTGTGATAAAATAAGAAATGTTCTAATTTACCACCAGAGATTCAATTTACCCTGAAAAGTCTTGCATACAGGGCAGAAGGACTGAAAATGACGATTACAGAAGATTATAAGCAGATAAAACAATCATAACTCATATTTTCTTTGATTTTTAGTCTTATTAATGTGGCTCAGGGGATTAGAGAAGATATTATAATGTCTTTCAAATAGCTTTTGTGTGCATCAGACGTATTAATTCTGTTTTCTTAGGTAATGGCAGGGGGAAGCACATTCCATGAAACGGTGCCTGCACTTGTGGGTACTTCAGCAGTCTTTTGCTCAGCAGGAACACCGCTGAGCGTGTGTTTAATGATTTACCAGTTCTACTCCAATGAACCCCGCTCTCAGTAAATGTATCATATGATCACTGATCACAAGAGCAACTGTTTCAGATGTTTTCGCTCGGGGCACGAGGCACACAGAGCGAACCGGCAACAGCGATGAACATGGCCGCTTTGTGTGCGGCTACGCGTCAGGCAGGCAAAGGTTGAGTGCAGCTGGACGTTAATCATCCGTAGCGATGAGTCATACATGGTAATAAGGCTCTATTTGTTTTTAGGTTGAGATTTAAGAAGTCACTCGACCTTTTCTGCAAGCGTCTCGCAGAATAAGTGTAGATGATTTAAGGCGGAAATGTACGCCTACATTACAGGTACGCAGCACAATTAGCTTCAGGCTGTTTCTCATTTCAGTTTATGACCTTTCCGTTGGGACAGATTCTGAAGCTACAAAGTCATGAAGATGAAGAAAAAGCATAAATGTTGAATGTTTTAGCGAGAACAGTGATTACATGTCTTATTCAAACTTTATAAGCAAAACAAAAGTGATTGTTTCATATATTTTCATAAGTACAAAACAATTTCTTTTATCTCCAAAACAGGAGAAAAAAGAGAAGAAGTCAGTGTTCAGATCTACCGGTGACAAAAATCATTTTTGTCAGAGTTTTGCCTTATTTAACCGGTGTAAAAAGAAATATATTCATCTTTTCCTCTCAAAGTATAAACTACACAAACACACATGCATACACAAAACCACCGCAAGTGAGGAGTGTGACATATCATGAGGCTTTCTGTTCTGATTAGGGGCTGTAGCAAACGTCAGGGCTGTTTTCTAGAGTGTAGGATGTTTAATAATTGAAGACTCCGGGAGCGGGCCTGTCACACCGGCTTGTCTAGAATGTTTCCTATGCAATTAGACGCCGAGAGACATTTGAAGAGGACCCACAAAAAGAGGCACAAAAAGTGACATGTGAACTTAAAGGAAATTAGCTCTTCACACGAGTGAAATGTGAAGGTTACTTAGCAATGCTTAACTCAGACTGCGGCTGTGTGAAGTGTGTGTTTGACTCAGGCGCGCTACGAAAGCTACGAAGACTGCGGTTTTCTTTACTTTGAGGCGGCTTCAGTCAGTAAGATCACAGAGGGAATGAAAACTAATTTTGACTCAAGGCATACGGGAGGAAAAAAGACGAAGAAAAAGAAGAAGAGGAAAAAAAAAAAACCTGAGATGTGTCGAAATAATGAGATCTCTTGATGTTTTCTGGGAAGATATGGGATGATGCAGACAGATGCACAACTCACATCTTCACCCAAGGACACACACATGCACACATACACACACACACACTCACTGCTGTGGATCATTTAACCACAACTTCAAAACACACAAATCTGCATGTGTGCAACACTAAAAAGCTGAACCACACACACGCACATCATTCTAGTGCGTGAAACGGTTATGCACATGTACTCGCATGCTCGCGCATAATCACGCTCAGACCTCATGTGATTAGCTGATTAGTACAGATGCAGACTCGTTAGATGTAAATAAAGTAGAACCACGGTTATCTAGATCTAGGAACTCTGACCTCAAACCATTAAAACAGTTCTTGCAAAATATCCCTGATTTTTGCAACCAGATCATGAATATTCTAAAAGATGACAAAAAGACTTAAAGGAATAAAATAAAGTCATGAAAAGGTTGATTATTTCGTCTGTTTTCCATTTGAGATATTACATTACAACATGTAAACACTGAAAATGAATCTGCTCCATATCCGTCTCCCCTCACCTCCGATCCTTGACAACCTTTCACATGAAATTTCCCCCCATCCACATCTCTGACTTCCATGATAACACTGTCATCCTCCACACCTCTCATAAGTCACAGGCAAACGACCCAGATCCTCCGTCGCGAGACAGAAGCCTCTGCGGGCCTGTAAGCTGTATCATTACACCATGTCATCTTTATGGCACGGAGCAAAGCCCAGCTCTCTAATTACACTCTACCTACTCCATTTACCCAGACAGGGCCAGAGCAGCAGGCAAACAATGCATTAAAAATGGAGTGCTTCCCTCTGCTCTATGGATGCCCGTGTCGTTCCGCCGGTGGCCGTCGCCGCCGTCGTCGTCCCTTGGTTGTTGTTGTTGTTGTTCTTGTGTCTCTAAAAGCTGCTCAGGAGAGATAGCCGGGGTGCCTGTCCCCCCACCTCCTCTCCTCTCCACTTCAACCTTTCCTTCAGAAGGACTTATGAAGGTGAGTGTCTATGTGACAGGCCAGAAATAAAAGAGACAAACCAGGGATAAAAATTAAATAAAAAGTAGCTGTCTTAAACAGTAATTGCACTCCTTTGCTGAGCATGCTTTCAGATATATAAACCTGATTTACTGTCGGCGTTGCTGCCACAAATCAGAAGGCCCTCTGAGAAACACTCGTGCTATGAAATTGTTTAATCTCATCAAGTTCTGCTTTCACAGCAGGCCATAAATCACATAGTCTTTGTTATCATAGACCTCCATGAGCGCCTCTGAGGCAGGCAATGGATCGTGGGTATATATAATCTTGACTGCTCAAACAGCAGGGTCTGAGCAGCCTGAAATACTTTCATATTAGCCGCGGTGCAGCTGGCGGAACACAAGCACCCTGATGGATATCTCATTTCCTGTGCTCTGCATCTATTTCGAGCAAATTATTACTGCATAAATTTCTTGTCAACAGAAACGGCCAATTAATTAAGTTAAAAATGCACTCGTGATCGCATCAACACACAAAACAGGAGAGCCGGGGCAGTTTTCCAGGGAGTGAATTTACAGCAGGGGTCAGCGTAATGAATGATTTCAAACTTCGTCATAAAGTCGCAGACAGGCCAATATCTTGCAGAAGCTGCGGTGCGCTCTAACACATGACATATTTGCATAAAGTTTATTTATGTGACGATGCCGGAGGAGGACAGCCAGGGTGAGGGAATAAAGTTTACAGCCAGGAAACAAAATGTCCGCCAACCTCTGCCTCTTTAGCATTTCATCAAAGACGCGAACCCGCGATCGCGTCGAGATCATGAAGGCACCTTTTCACTTTCTTCTTCTTTTTTTTTTTTTTTTAAAAGACATTTAAGATACAAAATATAAACATTTAACAGAGCTCACAATCTGGATGAATTATTCATTATGTATGAGGGGCTGGGTGTTTGTGGGGGTGGTGGTTGTTTATTCAGCTTGCGCCGTTTATCAGACAGTGAGGATCCCACGGCGGGGATGAGCTCGAAGATTTATCTGTGTTTGGGCTCCAAAGCAGATAAATCAAGGGGTGTAATCATGCTCTGAGTGGCCCAGCTGTGACCCCGCAGTGAACTAATGACACAGGGATATCTAAGCCCCTTTTCCTGTTCCTGGGTTAGGCCCTTAGGTTAGTCCTCCTGTCAGACACAAAGCTAAAGAAAGACACTCAAGAACCAAAGGGGGGGAAACTTGCGGCCCTTCGTGTCCCTTTGTCCTGTTTACACAACAACGCGGAGCAGGATTGTTCATGCACTACTAAAAATAACAGTGTCAGAACAAAGTACAAGCAGAAGAGCTACTGTATAACAATGTTTGCTCAAACAATAGCAATGAGTATCGATTGCGATTGTATACAGAGTGAGTTTGGGAGCTGCTATTCACAACAGTGCATGTAAAAGATACTGCTGTTTGGCTGAGGATGTCTCCCAATCCCTCCCAGAGCTGAAGGCTTTCTCCTGGACTGGACCCGCTCTGATTTATCATGTCTTCTGCTAGCAGGCTGTCCGCTGATTAAGCCAGTGGAACTTTGTTTCACTCTCCTCTCTCTTTAATCTGTCTCTCAGCTAGATAAATTAGCCAGTGCCGTGCCAGCTCCTGCTCCCTTTACTTCCCTCTCTCTCTCTCTCTCTCTCTCTCGCTCTCTCTCTCTTCTGCGTTTCTCTCTGTTTATCTTTTCTGTCTGTCACACATTGAGAAGAGAGCAGACACATCTGCTCCTACGCCGCTGCAGGAGATAGGGCTGGGCTACATCCCTTGGTCAGATTTAGCTTGGAGTGTCTGTGAGTGAGAACGAGGGAATGAGTGTGTTTTTCCTCTCTTCTTCTCTCCTTGACAGCGTTCTGTCAAACAATCTCCCTCTCCTTGGCTGGGTTTTTGCTCTTTGTTGTTAGCTCGTAAATCAGGGAGTATTTATGATCTGCAATCCCTATTCTTAGTCCTTTAATGGCGACACGTTTGTGGGTGAATTAAAGCCGGGTTTTATTCACTAGGCTCTGGGCCAAAGTGAGGCCTGGGCGCCTCTGCCTGTGAATGTTTTCCCTTCTCCACTCTTGCCTGGGTGGTAAATCACACTCATTGTCAGGCAGTGCTAAGTTAGTGTGCGTCATTGGGGAGAGCAGGAAGCACTGGGCATAATTCTGTCCATCAGTTTAATTTATTGTATCGGTAGCTTTGTAATCTCTGCTCCATAAATTACAGGAGCTGACAGACAGGAATTTGGTTTAAAGGCAGCGTTCATCAAGGTCCTGGCCGGCTATTTTTCCTTATTTCTCTCCCACTTTTCTGCTCTAACAGTCAGTTGTGGAAGGTATTGAAATCTTAGTGGAATTGTCCCACTTTAATACTTTTTATTATGCTTTTGTCGGGTTATCCCTTATGCTGTTATTTAATAGAATTGTGTTGTACAAATAGAGGACGAAAAAGACAGAGAAATAATAGAGAACTCTTGGATGTGACCCTGTTTTATTCCCTATTTTTTAAGTCTAGGTGAGATATAAAACCTAGTACAAGGGCACTGCTACAGCATCTGCTTTGCAGATAGTGCACTCGGCTCCCCCCCTTCCATGCCAGTGAATATAAATCAGAGGAGGCATCTCAATGCTATGGCCTGACTTCTAGAGGCCAACAAATCTTTAACATGAGATTAAGGCCTCAGAGAAATCATCTATCTCCTGGTGATAGAGGAAAATATCAGAGCACTCCATGGGCAATATGGTTTCACTGAGTCAGGACTGATGTGCAGTAGAACGTACTCAATGCCATAGGTAATGGCTGATCAATTCATTATTCTTATAGACTATGATTTGCTTTTGAAAGTGAGAGGGCAAGATAGTCCGAGTTGCAAAAGAAGAGTCATGAGCTTATGATTTAGGAGACAACAACAAACTTAAAGCTCCTGTGAGGTGTAATTTACCGGTCATGAAACAGACTCAAATTAATACTGATGCCTTTTTATGGCCTGATGAACAAATAAGATCAGCAGGAACAACACTGATAACCTCTTTATTATCATTATTATGAATGCCTTAAAGCCACTGCCGCAGGGTAGGTGTTGATTAACTGCCTAAACAACCCTTTGCTATTATTTATTTTACACCAAAGATTCAAAATAAGTTTTATATTTAAACTAGATGAGACATTTGTGTTATGAAATACTACAAGAGGTATTGTTTTGTCCACAGGAGTCACCAAAATCAACACGAGCTAAAAATTTCGGTAACACTTTACTTGACGCCTATCTCTGTCACGCATTATGAATATATGTATAATATGTTATAATCACATCATAGCACTGTATTTATAAACACTCGTAAATGATCACAATTCTTTACAGCAACAATCATAACACATTATAAAGCATTTTATCATGACTCACAAGGTCAGGTATTATAATATGTTATAACTGTTAACAACTCACTGACAATGCTCAAATAGATAATGCATTATACATTTATTTATGATGTGTTATAATTTGCTTACAAACTTGTATAACTATAGTTATAAACACTCATTAATTATCATAAGGTTTTGTAATAATAAGCATAACACATTATAATACCTGACCTTGTAATTCATGTTAAGATGCTTCATAATGTGTTATGATTATTGCTATAAAGCATTATGATCACTTATCAGTGTTTATAACTATAGTTATACAGTGCTATAACGTGATTTTAACACATTATACATATTTTTATAATGTGTTATAAAGATAGACGTCAAGTAAAGGAGCTTAAACTGTATTAAATTAAAAAAAAAAAAGAGTATTTTTTTCTTTCTTAAAAATACAAACATGCTCTTGTTTATACCCATATGACCCTTTTCTATGTTTAAAGTCAACTGTTGTGATTTGTATTTTAATTTTAGTAAATTCAACCATGTTAGCTGTCTTGTGTACAAATACATAGCAGGCAGACCAAAGCTGCCAATGATTAGAAAAAAAATGTTTTTTTTTTCCAAAGCATGGGTCTCCTTTGTGAATTTAACCCACCAAAGGCAGTGTCTGTTTTACAAGATGCTCTCTCCGTTGATGTGAATGTGCTTAGCATAAAAAAACACAGTCTGTGAAGACCTAACAATGAACCATATCTCCCTTTTTAACGCGCTGCATCATTTACATATCAAGCTACAAGCTCCATATGTAAACACATTCCATCAGATGCCCCCATCCCAGCCAATGAGAGCTGTTTGAATTCTACTATAGCTCACATTGGCTGTGTAGCATTAGACGAAGCAAAAGAGGCCCGAAAGAGACATCTCATGTCATCACCCAAGAGAGATAATGGAATTGTTATACATCCTTGATCACAGACACTCTCACGGCATCTTGCTCTCTTTTTCACTCATCCTTTGTCTCAGTGCTCTTAAAGTCTCTCTCTCTCTCTTTCATACACACACACACACACACACACGAGTAAAAAATTCCAGCACACTTCACTGCGATAGCTCCTCTTCTCTTTCAGGGTTTCATCTCAATAGCTTTTTTATCTGAGGACTTCAATTTGCAAGCCTAGCTGGAAGGCAGCTCCTCCTGATATGTTAATTGCAGGGTACTTAAGCGCTAAAAGATTAACATAAAACCCTTTGGAAACAAGCTAATAGTTTATGATAATTCGTGCATGGCCTTTGTCTGTCTATCATTACATTGCCTCTAGCGGTAATTTTATCAAGGGGCTGTAAAATATCATTTAAACAAGTTCACTTGCAGATAATTAATAGTGCAAACTGTACCGTTTATTCGAGCCGCACTGGCGCCATTAACAATACCGCAACAAAGCTATAATTAAAGTATTTTATTTTATTAACCTATTCATAACGCTGTGTAAATGATGACACAGAGTCAGAAGAAGGTTTTTTTCCCCTCTCGCAGAAGCACTGTCACCAGGGCAATTACAGCAACCCGGGGTTGTCTCCTCAGTTAGCGGAGCTGATTGAAGCCTCTAAATTAGCAGGTGGGTGCACGGCTAGCATACCTCCCACACACAGAGGCGGCACACATACAGAAGTGTTGCACACCAGCAGCAGGAATCTGCTGAGCTGACAGATTGGAATTTGTGCTGTTTGCCAGGGCAGGGAGATTTAGATTGAGACAAAGGTTTAACCTGGATTTGAACCTGTGCGGGGCGAGATGAAAAGATTCCGAGTAAAAAGAAGGAAAAGATCACAGTGGAATAATCTTACTTAAAACACCTCACAGCTCAGGGACTGAAGTCATGCCATGCTGCTGTGGGTATGATCAGGGGTGTGAGGTGGCAGTGGGGCTGCTACAGAAAAAAGAAACGCCTAAACATCACATCTCATACTTTGGCTCCTGGAGTCTTTCAGAACAAAAGTTTTTGGCTTTCTGAGGCTCTTGATGTTTTTTTCTGCCTACATAACTTACTCTTACTTATCCTTTACACCTGCCAGATCATCTAAAAACCGTCACCTACAGCTCGGCTCTTTTTAACTCTGAACCCAAATTTTAGAACTCCCTTCCAAAAATCATAAAAATCAAAAAACTGTGAGCGCTTTTAAAAACAATCACAAATATGTACAGTATATCAAGTGGTATCATTCAGTGCTGAAAAATGAAGCTAATGTTGACAGCAAAATTTAATGTTGACCAATCAATAAAGGTTTTTATGGCTATTTAAGAGAAAATTGTGAACTCTGTGAAGGGGTGAATTTTTTCACAATACATCCATCAGCCGAGGGTAAACAGAAAACGAGCTGAGTTGGCATTTACAGTATGCTAACTGACACTGCAATTACTGTTCATCTCGCTTTACTTCTTACCTGTTAAATTTTAAGCATCCCTTTGTTACGTCACCTTTTGAACTCTACTATGCAGAATTTGCGCTTGTATAATTTTTTTTTTTTTTTAACTTTATTATAAAATGCTCATACAAAAAAAGTATTTTAATATTTTTTTTTTATTAAATATAAATCAACTATTAACAAATCAGCCTACAAACCAAAGCAGCTGCTTTCCTTTGGTGCATTTATCTCAATTGGACATTTCAAATCACGATTATAAATGAAGACAGCAGGCATGCTTGTACAATGTATGTGCACTGTACTTGTGTGAATATACATGTGTTTTATACAGACACACAGACCCCTGGAAACACACACACTTTCTCTTTCAGACACACCATCCCTCTCATGAATAATACAAAAAGTCCTTTCACCAAACAGCTCAAATAGCTATTCATTCATCTGCATACCTGGAGCCTCGCAAAATGATTGGCCCGCCATTACCACTCGAAAAAAGAGAGAGAGAAATGTTCCCCAAACAATTTGCTTCAAAATGAGACAGGAATGATTCTGTTCTTTTCAGCGCCAGAGACAGGCCCCTGTGCATAATGATGTTAGCGTAATGGGGTGACAGATAGACTGGGAGACCATGACATTAGCATGAGAGACGCACCAGTGAGCAGCCGCTCAGCTGTGGTCTCAGAGGGCCCTCAGACATACACTCTGAACATCGTTTGTCTCACAGTTCTACGAGCCTGACAAATGAAGACACGCCATGTTTTATGCCAGGCAATATACCATTCCACTTTAGCAAACACATGACTTAATGACAGAGGGGAACCTACCTCTGCTTTACACAATGCACTATCTCTTGTCTTATTAGAGAAGAATAAACTCATTCAAGGTTGAATGGAGAGCCGGGGTACAGTCTCTGCCTTAAGGATATGAGATTACAACACTCATAATTAAAAGAAATAGAGGTTAGCCAAATTAAATAAGAAGAGGCAATAAGCAGTTAAATGTAATATCTTTGGACGGAGCCTTTTCAACAGGTTACATCCTGGAAATAAACTAAAAAACTGCAGCTTTGCTCAGTAAAGATTTGACCTACAGTAAAAGCTATTTCCAGGCCTAATAAACTTAAGGCAGGCGTGACAGTCAGGTAGAGAACACTACAGCAGGATAGTATATCTTTAGCAGTGTGACAAATTCACAATCTAACCTTTGTTGAGTCATGTTAAAACCTTGCATTTGTTTTATCGAGTGTGAAGAAAGGAAAAACACGATGACACCTCGATGAGTGGTATGCACTGAGAAAATGGGATTGTTGTATACTAAAATGTGAATAATTTTACCTCCAAAAGCTGCTAATAATCCTTTCTTTTCATAATCTCATTACTCACAAGACTGTCTGATAAAAGACTATTTATATTAGATAAACACATTATGCATTTGCAGTTAATTTGGCCAATCTGTTTGACTCCCAGGTAGCCATGATCTTCCCTGATACTGATGGGTGTTAACTTGCTAGTGTGCTTGGGATGTTGTCAAACCATTTTAACATTAAATCCAAAGACAATTTCATCCAGAACTACACACAAGGTGACATGCACCAAACCACGCCAGGACCAGTGATTACCTCTGTTACCTCTGTGCCACTTAAAGCTTTTCAGTTATTTTTTATTCTAAATGTACAGGTTAATATAGGCAATGTGGCTCTGATGTAAATCTGATGTAAATCTGATAGTCAGAGTTTTTTAGACAGAGAGAAACACGTAAGAAAGAAAAGCAATGCCTCTTCCTGAACATGTCCACTATCAACAATAACAGTGAGTCATCTTGCAAAACAAACAAACAAACAAACAAACAAACAAAACATTCCACATCTTTTGCTAGTGAACAGAACCAGCTGCTGAAGTCTCTTTTTGGACTAATTTGCCTACATGGGACCCTGACTGATCAAAACCTGTGACATACAAGGGAGGAAACCGTTCAGACCTTGTCAAGCACCTCAGTTACAGACACCTCTGAGGACTATAAAACACAGCAGGTTATTTTATAAGCTAGCCAGTAGGATGCTAATGAGCTGTTTATTTGTGCAATACACAGACAATACAAACAGCCAATGAAAAGGAGAGTTTCTCTGGGTCCGCTTCTCACTGAACCAATCACGTGCTGGATTAGCACCAAGTAGCAAACAACTGTGTAGTAGCAGGCTGCAGCTACATGCAACCATAGCACTTGAACAGCGTAACGCCTTACGACAAAACGTCGAACGGACACAAAGACCTCACAGATGCAGTAGCTTATTGTGTTGCAAAAGACATGCTACCAATAAGCACTGTTAGATTTCATTTTCTATAATGTGATATATATCAATATTGACTGATATGAAAAAAAAATATCGTGATAAATTTTTTTTCTGATATCACCCAGCCCTAGCCTTCTGATCAAACCAGTACCTGCTTAGTTCACATATCATTTCAGTAATGAATATAAAGCTCAAATTGGTATAAGTATCAAATTCCAAAGGTTGGTTTTGAATAACTCTGCTCCATACATGGAGCACCAGCTCTGCCAGCAGCTCTGAAATGAACATATTTCGGATGTGTGCACTAGAAGTTTCCCTGAAACTTCAGTTTGAGATTTTGTGCGGTCAAATGCCATCGAACATTGGTGACCTGCTGGTATACCTTTCACTGGGAAGTGCTGGAGTTTGTTAAGGCTCACAACATCTTGAAAATATGAAACTGTGGAAGTATCATCAAACCAGAGGAAATGTAATAATATGTTTATAGGAAGTGATGCACTTCTTATAACACGCTGTCAAAACCGAGATGCTGCAGACGTGAGACACAGCCTAAAAATGTTTGAGCTCTGACAGCCCGACCATCCACAGCATGACACTGTGGATGGGTGAATGCCTCCTGTAAACATTTATCTTCCCTGTGAGTGTGTGTCTGTGTGTGGTACGGCCTGGCGACAGGAGCTTCTCTGAGGCTTTATCTGCGGCATGACAAGACAACCTGTAATATACGAGCATCTGGAGCTCCTCTTCAAACACAGCCTTATCTCACGCCAAACATTCCCCGAGGCCAGAGCAGAGCACGAGTGGCCGAGACCAGACCAGACAAGACCTCACACCGTCTCACTGTATCCCACCCAACCCGTGAGCCGAGTAAGCTCACAAGCTGGGAACAGTCCATCAAAGTGAATGTGCGTGTGTTTACAAGGAGTGCTCTATGAGCCCTGCCCCGACAGCTGAGAACAACAGTGTGACATTACAGTGACAGAAATCGTCTGCTCAGAGTTTTTCTTCCGTCCCGCTAATCTGGCTAGAGGTTAATGGTGTTGCACTCAACACAAATGGACACAATCCTTCTTCGTCCGCTGACTTAAACATAACTGTTGAGACTAGAACTAAACAGCCATCACTCATGTTGCTGTTTGGGAAAATTTATTTTACATCAATCTTAAGATAAATAGTGAGGGCCATTACTGATCTTTTAAAGGGCAGTTTGAATGGGCTGCATGCTATCACATTCAAAGTGAGTGATCGCGGCTTTCAGGGGTTGTTAGAAAATCTTTAAAACAACTTTATCAAGACCATTGCGAAAAACGACACGGAGCTGCCTTCTTGAAGTGAAATTACACGCTTTAAATATCGCAGACGTTAAAAATCGAGTAAGAATATGAATGCCTTTAGCAGTTTTTCTCTTAACAAAATCACTGAAGTAAATGCGTGAAGAGAAAGACGCCCAGTTAGGAAGCTCTCCTCTTTTCTCTGCTCTGCTCGGACCGCTGCCTTTAGCCAGCCTATGGGGGGGATGTAGACATGCCCCTCTCTGGGGCCTGTACATACGGCCTGTGCCTCACTTCAAAGAGAGGGCATAAGGGCAGTGTAACCCCCTCCCTCCCCTCCTACTAACTCAGATCCATCGGGCTCACAGCTGATTCCTCTATGTGAGTGAATGTTTATGTGTGTCTCACTTTGACTCTCTCTAGGCCCCTCTAGCTTTCATTTCAGACCGCTTTCTAGCCTCTTGTTGTTTTCTCGCTCTCTTTTGGAAGACGGATAAAGAGAGACATAGAAGTACAGCCCTCAGCTTGTGTGTGTATATGTATGTGTGTGTGTGTGTGTTTGCGCATTTGTGTGTCTTTTTCTTTGAAGTCAGATAATGAAGGGCAATACTGAGCAATCTCTAAACACGCTGTCACACAAGCCCTCGTCATGATCCACATGCTAAACACAACGCAGACTGATACCCGGTAAAAATGCAACTTTACTCAAGCTGACCAGAAGGACTGTGGGAGAGAATAGAGTGTTTAAAAAGACGAGTGGATACCGAAGAGGAGAGCTGAGCTCACTGGCTGTGACACAGGGAGGTCTGGCCTTTACAAATCCCTCCTTTTTTGATCTCTTCATCCAGATGAAAGAACAGCGGCAGGCAGGATTATGCGGCACAATTGCGCTTTCTCCCCCAAACCCTGACTTGATCGGCTTTTACGAGGGCCTTAATCATTTTCAATTAAGCATATTCTCTGACATCCTGTAATAGCTACAGTGCTGCTGTTTTTTTTTTTTTTTACTTTCCGGCAGCCCCCTGCGCTCCCCTGCAGCCCCCGTCTCGCTAAGCCTCTCGTTCTCAGACAGCGTGCCTGTAGTGTCTGCTGACAATCTGAATGGGCCCGAACTGCAACTTGTTGTTAAGGTGCCAAATAACCCATTTACCAGATGCTTGACAAGGATGTTATTTGGCGCTTTGATTGAATGGGCTTTTGTACCGCTGAAGCATTGAATTAGTGTTGTTTGTTTGTGGAAGCCCCTGGGATCCTCCTCTGTGTCAATGTTATTTTTGTGTTTTTTGGTCGAGGTTCCTTTTGGTATGATAATCAATATCTAATCCAACTAGTATAAAGCAAACAAGCAGCTATTGTATACAAACGTCCTTCTCACAAATCCACTGGCTCTTGAAATGATTAATCCCGACATTCAGCCGGCTAAGAGTGCATGAAAACGTCTTCAAATACAGCCTCTTAAGATGTAAACTGTATTTGTAATTGTCACAATGATTTCATCCATGACAGCTTAGTTGCCCTCTGTTCATTCACCAGGTGCTTAATTCCAGTCAAACTCTGAAAGCTCGGTGTCTCTTGAGGGACTCGATGTCTCAAGGACCTGACTGAGACAGACAGCACCATTAGCAGGCCCTGGACCAGCCCCAGCCCTGACAACCACTCACAGCTGGCAATGGCAGGCGGAGGAATGGGTCCTTCTTTCCTTCAGTTTAGCTGTAGAAGTGAAACAAACGTCCATCACTCACTCACTCAGTACCCAGCAGGATGGCTGGCTTTTTTTTCTTTTTGTGAGGACGAAGGAGTGGAGAAAGACAGAGAGGAGCAGGAACGGCGCGCAGACAGGAGTAAAAAGAGACGGATTTGACAGTGAGGGAGCTGGTAGCATCCACAGTGGGATTATAAGTTTGGCAGGTAACTAAACAAACTTATAAGATGACGATGCTTGTTGTTCAGTGGGGAAAAAAGTCGTACATTTACAGAAGTACAGGTGTAACTAAGTGAGAAGCATGAGATATTACAGACAATAGTTAATCTTTATGTAAAATGGATCTTCTATAAGGAACACAGATTGTTTTGGAAAGTTCAACTGCAGAGGTGTGCAGCAGCCTAATAGCCTGTACTTCTACAGGATAGTCTCAGGAGAGTCCTAATTCATATGGCAATGAAGTGTTCCCGTGCTTAAAGAGTGAGTAGTTATTAAAGCTCCTATTAGGAACCTTCCATTTGTGTTGACTTTGGCGCCCCCTGTGGACAAGCAGTCTTTGTTTATCTTGAGTAGTGTTTTTGACGCTTCTGGCTTTTAAATAATTGATGAGAATGTTTAACCTGAAAACTGTAAAAACAGAGTGCTCTCTTTAGCTGCTCGACTGCCCCCTAGCTCAAATTTTGTTAATCTTGCCCCTGACGGTGTCAATTACTTTTGAATGTCATTAAAAAGCAACAATATAAATTTCAGCATATTTCATAAACATCAGAAAACTTAAATTATTATATCAATCTCATAAATTCTCAACTTTATTCTCTATTTTTTATTTTCTATAATGTGGCTCTAATACTCCATTGTAATTTAACGTCTAGAAAGTAATCACCAATTACCTGTAGCAAGATTTTGTACATTCAACTGTAAACCAGTACATTCAGTACAGGAACTGAGCTGTTTGAGTTTCATTACTAAGTGTTGGCACACTTTAAAGTTTTGTGGATTGACATTATTTAACTTTGAATTGATATGGACCATTAAACTTCATCGACCAAAGGCAGCATGTCTTTCACAGGATTTAAACAAATATTTACATTTGTAGGTCTGTTTGCATTGCAGCTGTCATGCACTCATCCAGAACTTAATTTCGCAGCTGTGAGTAGTTCCCAGTTTACTTTCTGTGCTGTGTTGCTGAACTATGGTCTACATTTTAATAATTTTGTATAGTTTTAATTGAAGCATGAATCCAAGCTTAGTTTGGGTTCTTCATTTAAGCAGTGACGGCACAACGTGCTCAAAATGTACATGAAATTCAGAACAGTATAGAAAATTAAAGTGGCTGCACAGTTTTTGAGTCATTTTAGACTTTCAAAGAGCTTTCAAAGACAAAAACACAGAGGAACAAAGGACAAGCAGGCGTGGCATATTCAAAACCCCACGCTTAAAAACTATTTTGCATATCTTTCAAGTCACCCCACAACTGTTGTTGCCCCCTTTTTTTTCACCTCAAAGCCATATCCTCTCATCTTCCTCCTCTCTTCACTCTCAACTACGGTGGAAGTGCTGCATGAAGACTGTCAGCTGTCTTACAATCAGACAAATTCACAAGAAGAATTGACGAAACGATATTCTGAAACTGTAGATTTCACAAATGATGTCTCAGTTAAGTGTCACCAAAAACGTAAGACTCACGCGTAGACTTTAAGTGGGATTTTAGGCTGTTAGATTTTAATCCTTTAAATTGAATTTGATTTAAGACTTTTAAAGACTTTTCAAGGACTTCAAAGTCTTGACCACTTTTGAGGGACAAAAGTTAAGACCTAAAATAAAGCTGACATTTTTATTTACACTAAATCTAATAGAAAAAGACAGATTTCCTTTAACTGTTGATATTAATACACCCAATCTCTGCCCACCATCACAGACACATGAGAACAGACACTGATCTAGCATACTTTTGAGTTGTGTCTGTCTGTCATTATTAGCTTTGATAACGTCTAACAGTGTCTTCAATAGAAAAAGCCTGCTAGCATGGGTCTGTTTCCCTGCTTCGCTGCGGCTCATTGGCTGGGGTCTCTACTTTCTAATCACCTTTCATTACAGCCTTCTGATCCCCAGCTTTTCCTTTGTGCGCCGCACTTCATCGTCTTTATTTTCTGCTCTAATTGCATGTGAAAGATGCCCCCTTTGATTCTGCCTGCATGCCAAAGTGCTATCAGGGAGAGAGTGTCGAAAAGTGTCATGTGTGTCTGTCTGCTCGAAGGATGAGGGGGCCGCGTATTCACCTGCTGAGGACAAACCCGTTTCTCCGAGAGATATGACGCATCTATCAGCAGCTCCGAGGATATCAGCGCTGTCTGTCAACATAATAGCAAAGGGTAGGGGGTAACAGGATTGGAGAGGGGAGGGGCGGTAGAAAAACAGGGAGCTAGGTGCTTTGAATGCGTGCTTGTCGCAAAGGCCCTGTTTGCGTGTGTGTGTGTGCTTAATTTCTGTGGCTTTTTTTGGACCAATTCTCTTCTGATTCTTGTCAAGAATTAAAATAAAAAACCTTGACTTTCTCCCGGATCCTTTTCTTTTTCCAAATGCCATCATTTGTTGCTGTTCAGTGGAGGTTGTGTACCCGGCATGTTAGGCATGTTCACTGTCAGTGTTTAACCTTTTCAGTTTGATGTCTGGAAGACCTTTGGTGGCCACTGTATGGTTGTAAAAAGGCATCTTTTTATCCGGTTTCCTCTGCAACAGCTCATTAGATGCGTGGCCTATTCAAAGCAGGAAAATACAGCGCATACAAGGGAAAAATGATAAATCTATACGGCTTGGAAGGAGTATCACTCAGACGAGGATTTTATTTTGGTAACAAACGCACAGAGAGGGGCTCATGAGCGACCTCGTGGCGAAACCAATGTTCCAGGAAGGGCAGACTGCAGCAGGAGAGACACAGCAAGACCTCACTCTGACAGAATCTAATCAAGAGTTGTCCTAACATATTACAACTGACTTAAGCTCTATCTTTCCTCCCAGTTAAGTCTCACTCACTCAGAATCAAAATTACCAGCAAGACAGAGACAAGAAGAGAAAGCGAGACAGAGGGAGCAGATTAGGAGACGGTGAGGGGAGGAAGAAAAACACACACACACACATCTCTTTTGGACTGAAATGGAAGACTACTTCCGGCTCCAATTTCGGCATATGCCAGTGTGAGCCGCGGAAAGATAAATGAGCTCTCCAGTACCAAGAGGAAACGGGTTCTCTATCTGGCATGGCACTATTTACTGACATTAAGAATGATAATATCAATCAGCGAGCTGTCAGCAACCCAAGTGGGCTGCGAGGAGAACAAAGGTGCCACTGTCTCTCCTTTGATGCGTTTACAAGGAGATGTTGATGTACCTGCCATTCAGGTGCAAATAATGTCATCACCACACACCCGGATCAGGGCCTGCTGCTCCACCTTAGTGATGAGTAAAACTGCCAAGGGCCCTTTCCCAAAGCTCATGTTCATAGCTTGGAAAAATAAACCTGACGGGTTAATGAGCTAGCAATCAACACAACAAGGAGAGCGGCAGAGCACCGACATGTCTGCACTCCTCGTCTCCCTGTGAAATATAGCTGTGGGTAACAGTTTTTTTTTTTTTTTTACCTTCAGCAGTGATGAACAGGAAAAAAACACACGGCAACAGCATCAGGGACGCGTCTGTGTAATTACTTTTGGCCATCTTTCAAACCTTTCTCTCTCCGGAGAGAGATGTGTGACAACATATGACAAGAAAGCCAACAGGCTTTCCATACAGAATAATGGAATCCATCATCGCTCAGGCAGACACACCTGTCTGGCTTTGAGAACAATGCCACACTGCCTATTTATTGGGTGCCAGAAAAGTTTATGTTTGTTCGGTGACAGTGACAGCAACTTGATCCTTTTCATTTTTTGGAAGGGGGATCTCAAGCTTTGGGGAAGGAAGGGAGGAGGGGAAAGTCTGACTCACATATTTTCTTCTCTCGGCGGTGCACAGTGACTTCTCTTTCTTCCTGATAGCTGTCTGCTAGGAAGTCAGAAGACAAATAACAAAGACTGTCATTCTGCAGGAGGCTTTCACTAATTCTTTTTTTCTCCGCCACAAAAAGGAAACATATTACATCCTTTTGACACTTCAAGTCCAGCGCCATCTTAATCTTCTTTGGATTTGCGAGATATGGAATTGCGCAGCAAAGCAAAGCAGCGAGTGATTTAATTATTCATGCTAGTTTGATATCAGTACCCAGCATGAACATAAGTGATTAATAATAAGAAAACAGGCTTCATGACTGGCAGCGTCTGCCACAACCATTTCACACAAAATTAAAGGGCACTGTTGATAAAATGTTGAGGTAACTCAAGAGCAGATAATGACAGCTGCAATTTTCCACAGGATTTAATTAGAGAAAATAATTAACCGATTCGAGAGTGTGTGTTTACCGCAAACGTTTGCAGGTTGTTTTGAGAAAAATACTTGGCAGGCGAAAGGTGCAAGTTCATGCATATTAGCGGCTCGCTTTGACATTTTTAATTTTTCTTCAGGCAGTTTTCATACTCTGGTTTCGGAGAAGTTTTCATGTTCTGTTTTTTAAAAAGGGATCAAGTTTAATTCAAAGTGTCAAAATACACTTTTCAGATTAAGAAAATCTGATTTCGCCGTTCAATTTGCTGTTGTTTTTGGAGCTGCTCTGCGGGCTATCACCTCAGTCTGACTGTCAGCCAGCCGTGTTGATGGAACAGCGCTGCCTGTCATCTGAACAGTTAATAATTAGGCTTCCTCCTGCCACAAAACAGAGTGCCACGGTGACAAAAGCCAATGGCAACCGAGGTGGCGGCTTGGCTGCTGCATTATAAATAGTCTGACCGGATGATTAATGAGAGGGGCCATGGAGCTAAAGCAGCAATCTCGCGCACAGACAAAAGGCTGCCTGCACAGCTGCCTGCACACACAAAAAAATTAAACAAAACACAACAAGACAAGCCCTGTCCCCGGATAGAAACAAGAAGTGAGGCGGAGTGGCAGGGAAAGTGGAAACATGCCAAGTAAATAAATTATTGAATTCTGACCGACAGCTTATGAAGACTTTATTTAACCTCTGAGCGCTTTTGGGGGGATCCTCATTAACATTTTGACACGCTCGGTTGAATGGCGAGGTCAGGCAGGTTTAAAATGCAGGGGAGGTTCAGGAGAGACGGGCAAATTCTTTTGTGATGATCAAGAAGGAGGCATGGGAGAGAAAATAGGAAAAAAAAGGCACAATGGAGAGGCTTAGATAATTCAATAATTTGAGAAGCAATGCCCAAACCTTAGATGATTCAGCGGGCAAACAAAGGTTTGGAGAGTGAGGGCGAGTTACAATGGCACCACAGGGGCCCCTTTACAAAGTCCTCCAATCTGCAAAAACATCACGGTATGGAGCGACTTGCTTTCTAAAAGACCGAACACTGCACATAAAAACAGTGAAATCAGACACTGTTTATTCATATAAGGTGAAAAGTTGTGTTTCTTCCAATTTCAAACTTAAATTGTTGATAATGTCAGCTCCCACTGAGTAAAACTATCTGTGCGTTTGAATAACAAAATGTTCCCCGAGCCGTTTTAGGGAGAACTTTTGAGCCATATTCTCCTTCTTGTTTCAATCACCTTTATGTTGCTCCAGAGTAATAAGGACTGATGTTACCCTTTACCATTTTAAAAATTACACTCCTCAAAACTACACACGTCAAATCAATCAAAAGACGACAGCTACAGGTACAAAAAAAAAACTGACAAAAGTGACAAATATCTGTTTTTCTCTCCTGGAAAAGTTCCCCAAACAAACATGGATACTCTTTTTCCTCTACCAGTCAACAATTATCTGGAATATTTGGATGTACGGTTTCTCCGAGCAGGTTTTTCCATTTGATGGGCCTTATTCTTCCTCTCCACTTTGCCGTGCTCAGCTGGCAGGGCTCTCAGTCGTCACAACATCTCCTTTTAATGCCCCTGACAGGGGGTTATTTGCTCCCATATATGTTTTCTCTCCAATTACACCATGGCAGGCTGGAGGCTGCCAAACCACGCCGCTGAGATGCTGATGGTCACCTCTTTGACTAGTCCTTCCTGCCTCCTGCACTATATTTTTCATCTTTTTAGATTCTATTAGAGAGGAGGACTCTCTCATTTGTCTGTCCTTGGTCCAAAGTGTTGTTTAACACCTGACAAGCGTCAGCAGCACAATGCCAACTACTATTTGGTGGGAAAGGTAATATTCGACTTCTATTCTCAATTTTTCCCTCAAGGTGTATGTCTGGTAAGAATACGGTATGAACATTTTAAAAACCGGGGTAGAGAAATGTCCTCAAGAAAAGGAGTTTTGCATTCAGTGAGTTTTGCAGTGTTTCATTTCTGCTTGTCTGCGGCTGTAGCCTTAGCTGCACGGGGATTTAAATTACAAAACACACGTTCTTAATAATCTTAAAGCGTTCCAACTTGAATATTAAATACAACGCATAATGCTCAACTCCAGCAAAACACAGTCATTTGTCTAATTTGCTTGATTCTTTGCGAGTGTTTGCAGCAATCAGGGTGATCAAAGAGCAACTAAAATGATACCAAGGGACTGATATCTCAAATGTACAAGATGCAAACCCTCTGAATCAATAAAGCAAAACAGACAGCATTTGTGAGTATAGCTTTAAGCTAAGTGGGATGCCAAATGCAAAGGCTGCCATTGATACCACAATGAAAAATGCATGATTTCAGAGAGAGCGCTCTTTTATCTACAAGGCAAGATCAATAGTGGGAAGGGGTTATGGAATCAAAGTTGTTTTGCTGATGCAGTAGTTAACTGACACGCTTAAAAACATCTGAACGCAATTTGTGAGAACAAAGCGAGCTAAAAACACAATCGGAGGAGAGTAAGGTGAAGTTCTGTGGGTTGGTAAACTTTCTTTTCACATTCAGGAAGGAGAAATCAAACGCTGAGTGTACAGGGCAACACGAGTCAGATTCATTTACCACTGACAAGGTCTGTGTACGGAGCAAAGGTTCGTGTCTTTGTTTGTCGGCTTGAACTACGGTGAAATAAAAATATAAAACAAACGCTAAATCAAAAGATGCTGCGTTTGTTTGTAAGACAAAAGACTGTGTCTTTTTTTCTGTTCCTCCTCCTTTAATCTGCAGTAATTTAGAGTGAAAAAAGAGTCTTTATTCAAAACAATGCCAAACATGTACCAGTATGACAGTTGCCTCACTTCTGCCCTCCTAAATATCCAAAGTAGTTTTGCCTTTGCTGTTCAACGCTAAAACAAATATAGCCCACCCTCACACAACATCTGATCATTGATTTCAACGTGACGCTGACAGAGCTAATTATTCCGTAACTCAAGCCCGGCCTCCGCCCTGACCTTCGCCCTGTGAGCGGACTGAGGAAGAGCCAGCAGCTTTCAGCAGAGGCTTGGGCCTGTCTGGCCTGAGAATGTGACAAGAGATAGACAGAGGAGAGAGGAGAGAAGAGAGAGAGAGAGAGAGAGGGTCACAGGATGGAGGAATAGAGACACAAGAGAGCGAGACAGAGGGGAGGATAGGAGACACAAAGAGAGAGGGAAACATGAGAGAGAAAGAGGGAATGAAAGTGAGTGAGGATGACTGACAGACGGAGGAGTCGTCACAGGTAAAGAGTGAAGGCTCAGGCCACAGAGGGACCCGGTGAGAAAGCTAACAGATAGCAATCTGAGTTATCACTCCGTGGCGTGGCTAACAGCTAGCAGCTACCCTGTCACCGCCGCCTAAACAAGCCCAGCGTTTTCATCTCCATATACACAACGCGGCACTCTGTCTTTTCTTCTGATGGAGATAAGATGTATAAATTATGAGCAGCTGACAAAGTCTACTCCAGCGCCCCCGGCGTCTCATCAATCACTAGCCTGTGTGTCAGCAGGTAACTGACGTGGCCCCCGGAGGCACAGCCCCCTCTTTAGGTGTGTGAGCGCTTTTTTTTTTTTTTTCTGTGAGCAAAAATGTGTGTTTGCAACCGTGCAATTGGGCTTTTGTGCATGTCTGAGTGCTGCGAGTGTTTGTGTGCATGTGTGAAGGTTGTGTGAACAGCTGATTCAGTCTTAACTCCATCCTGCAAGAGACAAAAAGGGAAGAAAGGAATACACACAACTTGCACACAGCAGCCAAACAAAAACAGCTCCTGACTCTGTGTGTGTGTGTGTGTGTGTGTTTGTATGAACTCAAGGTTTTTCTGTTTTACCTGGAGGTTATCTGATGTGCTGAAACACTCCAAAGAGAAAGCTAAATGCTCAAAATAAGGAGAAGCATGACGGACTGAAATATGAAACAACAACAGGAAAAAAATGTGAAATAGAGAGCGGGCTGTGCTGAGCAGAGTCCTCAAAGCCCCTCAAAGGGTAGACCACCCAGTTTGATTACTGGTATTAAAAAATTACCATGACCCTCTCCTTTCCAAGTCTTCAAGAAAACTTGGTCTGCAGCCTTTGCTTGCAGGAATAACCATGAAAGACATACCAGCAAAAAAACACCCTCAAACTGCATCTCCGAGACTCCAAATTCTCCTTCACAGACGTTATAACAGGCAACACTTCAGTGTTAAACGCATCATCGCTAAAGTGAGCAACATAATTACACTGTGTGTCAGCAAAACAGCATAATTACAAGCTACAAGTCGTCAGTGTCTGATTTCACATTGCTTCCTTTTACGGGCCAATCAAAGTCCCCTTTTCACTGCGAATTAAGGGCTAATTTTACTGCAATAATTACAAGCTGAGGTGTCCAAACATAGCAGACTACATGGGTATTAAACAGAGTTAATGAAATAATCGCAAATCAGATTCACAGGTACTTGGAAGTTTGGGATTTCTTCCAAAGCAAATTTGCTTTTGCTTTGGTTTGTAATTTTTCGCCTTGAGCACCTATTCAATCATTTCTAAAGAGGCTGTTTGAGTTAACGCCAAATTTCCATTCAAGGACAGTTTACATGTGGAAAAAAAAATACTTAGAAATAACTGAATTCACTCAAACTCTCATTCCTCTTGGACGGATAACCTCGAACAACATCACCCCTGCAAAATTACACAATGTTTGTGTACAAGGCCCAAAGCAGGTAGCTGTTTGCTTGCGCACTCTGTATCGATCTGCTGTCTTGAAGTGAAGTTCAAGAAGGAGAGTGAAGCAGAAAAAAAATTTGACTCCCCATGGGGGAACCAGGAGAAACAGCTCATCTCGGCACCAAAGAGAAGGAGGCCTGTCATGTTTTGTGTGATGAGCTGAAAGACTAGAGGAGGCCTGGAGCAGCGGGGTATTCCTTCCCCCCATAAACAAACCTCGGAAAAAACAAACAGCTTCACCCAACAGAGAAGGAGACAGGACGGTGAGACAAGAGGGAAGGGCAGACAGGTGTCGGGAAAGAATGACATGTGTGACAGAGGGCAGTGAGAGAGGAGCCGGAGGAGATGAGAGGAGGAGCTGAAGACGGAGCTGTTTTCATGAAAGAAGCTTCAGACTTGTCGTCTCCCTCTTTCTGGCCTGCTGGTTTGGATTCCAGGCTTGGACTTCATATTTCAATCACCCTACAATCACATAAATCAAGTACTGTACACCATTAGCATTAGCATAAGAGCCATAGAGGTATCAATGATGCTTTTGTTTCCTGGGGCGGACAAATCTTGAGACACACTATCCCTGATAACCTTTCTAGAGAGAAAGAGGGAAGACGTCTGGAGTCCGTCTGACAAAAGCACTCAGTCGTCTTGAAATCTGATGAGTCTGACAGGATGTGAGCCCATCTGATCCACTGCTGTCTCAATGTTCCCTTACAGGAGTAAGGGAGGGAGGTGAAGGCGGGGAAGATGGGACTGCTGCTTTTCACCACACTTTTAGCACAGGTGTGATGAAAGTCAGAGCCGCCGCAGCCCGGCCCGTCTCTCTCAGATTACCACAAACACGTCTGGTGACGGATCTTGCCAGTTGGCAGGCAAAACTGCTGGGAAGCGATGCCCAAGATGTGCCCAACCCATCTGCTGGCTGCATGGAGACACAGATCAGGTGATCCCATGAGGTACTTTCAGCATATCATATTAAATGTCTGGGTTATAGGTTGCAGGTGCAAGTCTTAAAAAATAGATTAGACACAGAGGAACAAAATGGTTTGTTGCAAGAAAGTGGACACTTTCAGTCTGATTGTGGACATACGCGCCACATACATGACTGTTCATCACCTCTGGGCTACAAAAACACAAGGAGAAGTGATAAAAAGTAATAAAGTAAAAGTGGTTTTGATCGCATCAACCACAAAACTTCTTTTCCTCCTCCTTTAACTTGATCAGACTTGATTAAATGACAAACCAGTGTTTCACACAGCCTGAAGAAGTTATCCTGAAAATGAAATCCACCATAACCAAAGACTTACACAACACCCTGAGGGACACCATATGAGAGACTTTTACAATCATCAGCAATGAGAGAATCAGCAGACCAGCAATAACCCAAACATTTGTAAAGTTCCCCATTGTAGCCTGTAAGTACTTAAAATAATATTTTACACATTCATATACTTGTAGTTCGTCTGTGTGAGTCTGCAATCAGAGCTGCATCCTTAGCAACGGTGCGTTCTTCATAGCAACAGTCTGCTATAAGGTGAAAAACAGACCACTGCTATGACTCATTGATTTAAGCCGACTTCTCTGAATCAGTTAACATAGTCATGCTAAAGTGAGGGCGCTTTCATTCAGGAGTATATGAGCAATCCCTACACATCATGACAAAGTCTACCATTGTCCAATGAGAAGCATTCAAAGGCAGCATCCTCCTCCTTTACAGCATAATAAGTCATTCCTACCATTTCTCTTTCAGTCCTTGAGAGAAGTTTATGTTTTCTATTACGAAATCTTCTTTAGCTTTTTCTATCCATTGGCTGTGATTTACCGTTTCTGTCTGTCAATGCAGAACTGTCGACTGTCTGTATGTCTGTATGTGTTTCTGGTTTGCACATTATGCAATGCAGTTGTTTTTTAGCAGTACTGACTGTCCACGACAAATTTCCCTGCGGGGACAATAAAGTTATATTGAATTGAATTGAATTCTCTCAGTAAATCCTCTCTTGTTAAACCATTGTACAGTATTTATATATCATTCAGGATTGCGTAACCAAAATCCTTAACAAAAATCTCCCAGAAGCTCCTAACTTTTAGTCCTTTTGTCTTTGCGTTCATTGTGTTTTACAGATTTGCTTGTTCTTTTGAAATTATTGTTTTATTTTTTTTCAAGTGGGATTGAAATGATTTAAGATTGTTTTCGTGACAGTCAGACTTATTCTTGTGGGAGACATAATGAATCTGTCAGCTTCAAGCGAACGCCAACTGAAAATAGAAACCGAAAGAATCAGTCAAAGGTTAGAGAACCTCTGATAACCACTAAGAGACGCAAATAATGTGACACTGAGGAGTCTAAAAAGGAGCCCGGTTGATGAAAATGATAATCTAACACTGTTTTCTTTAATCATAATTCAGACAATAAAAGCTTGTTCGTTTTGTCAAACAAACAAAAAAACACAAAGAAAAGAAATCCTTTGCAGGGTGACACTGGAACATTGTGGCAAAGACAACCTCCATCCTCCTCACTGTCCATCTGTGCCCTGTCGCCCCATGCCAATCCTCCACATCCCTCTCCAACGCCCCCGTGAATGACAGAAGAATGCAGCCCGAGTGTCACTTGACCCCTCTGCCCCCGCGCTGACCTCTTCCTGCACCCTGGGCAGCCCTCACCCTCGCACATATTTCCACCGCTAAACAAGAATGTCTCCCTCTCCTCCTCTGTCTCTACTTAATTTCCTCTTTACCGCCGTCCAACTCTCCCACCACCCTGTTCATCACCCTTTTTCTCTCATCCTCTCTGGCTATTCAAAACCTGAGAAGAGAAAAAAAGGGAGATAAATACCTCTCCACTGGTAGAAAACACAGAGACAAGAGACCATACAGAGTGTGATTGTTGGGAAAGAAGGGGGCTGCTGTGTTTGTAAAATGCAGAGTGGGACAGAGGGGGTGGATTTTGGACCGATGCATAAGAGAGGTGCAAATGTAAGGGCACACTTCAAAGTTATATAGAAAGAGAGAGAGATAATAGTCTCTTAAATCTTTCAAAATAAAAGTACTGAAGGCTGCAGACATAACGTGTGAGACTAAGTTTACAAAGCCAAGACTGTTATAAGACTTTTGACAAGTTTCTTTATTGCCGTCACAACCTCAATGCTATTTAAAAACGATACTTTACTTTCAACCATCTCTGAACAATTTGTCTTGTAACATAACATGTCCTCCTTAGGCTAAATATGTGCAGTGCTGACATTGTTGTAACTGTATGTTCCCTCTCTGTCACTCAGATGTAAGGCTCCTGACAGGCTAAGCCCTTAATGCACCAGATTTGACTGGTTAATCCTGAGAAAAACTCTCCTTTTTGTCTCTCAGGTGGAAAGGTTGCACAGCCAGGCTTGCCTTCCTTCAATCCTCCTGTATGCCTCCGATCTTAGCCTCCAACCTAAACATGCTCTGGCCCTCAGCACTAGCCTCTCTCACCCCCTTTTCCCTCAGACGTCTCCCCACCCGCATGCATGAGCTACAAAGCTGGAGGTGTCAAGAGTACCTGTCTCAACAGACGAACCCCCCCCACCCCTGCCTGACCTGCGGATAGCCTTCAGGGACATTAATTATAGAGTAGTTTGACTTGTTGAGAGGAAAGAGACAGACAGAGAGAGAGAGGGGGAGAGAGAGAGAGCAGAAAAAGATAAATGCAGAGATGTTGTTACAGAAGCTGTCACCTCCTAATCATGTCATCCTGCTGTACAGAGGTGGCGCTGAGGTTTTACTCGATCAGGTTACCCATTCATCACCGGGTCTGGTTGGTGCTGGTGTTGGGAGACGTGGAGAGACGGTGACTCAAATTTTTACATGGGTATCCACGAGTTAATGTTTCTTCAAGTCAAAAAGCCCAAATCAATTTGGTATTCATAGCTTAAAGCTTCTGTGATGAACTTTAGTTTGTATCGATTTTGGCGCCCCCTGTGGTTGATAGTCGCCTTTCCTTATCCTGTGATGCCCTTGGACAAAAAAAAATTATTCTGCTATGGAGACCATTGTCTCACTTCACAAAAAGAGGACACGACTGCACAGGGGCGGAGTCACGGAGTCATACAAACTTAGTTTTGAGAGTTTTTCGGGTCGGATCGAGTATCTTTTACGCGCTTCTAACTCACTAAGTCCACATGACATAAACTCGAAACTTCCGTACAAAACTGTGGACATTTGAAGGATTTTATAAACTTCCTTGGACAGCCCCCAAAAAGAGGACATGTCCGGGTAAAAGAGGACGTATGGTCACCCTACATTCTGCTGACTTTTGATGATCAAATGTGTGATTGTTTATTACAGAAAGAAGATGTAACTCATTTTCAGTTGGTGCAGCGCCTAAAGGAGTGAGTAAACTCAATCCTAAATAACAACTTATATTTAAACTCAAGGCCACATGTAAACATAGTTCGCTCAACCCAGTTCTGTTTGTACAGATTTTTTCCCTTTAATTTACATTTTATTATCCATACGTGTAAGATCATGTGTGCATGCCCTGGTTCTAGACAACTTAACAAAGCAAAGATAAAAAAAAAACGCAGAATCAGTGTTTGTGTTCACGAAAACAAAACATGAAACTGCTGTCTCTACTCCTGTGTGCTCATGTTTGTGTAGGCCAAAAGAAGAAAAACACAATATGGATGTACGACAAAGTGACATTTCTTTAGAGATATTGTGTAGACAGCAACGTCTACAAACAAGCATGAATAGACAGTGAACTGCCACCATGTGATCAGAGCGATCTGTCCAAACAAATAGAGGCTTCTTTTACGCATTACCGTGTTAGATTAGACGACTTTCGGTCATTTGATTCCCCGCCGTCTCGACAGCTCCTGTTTCTAATGGACCGAGTGGGATTTCACAAAACTGCAAAAATAGGGAGAGGTCACCGTGTTTGAAGGTTACCCCTGTCGGGGAATCAAAATAAATAACGTTCAGGTGCACTATTCCCTGTCAGGTGAGTGTCTTAATGATGCCAAGTTAACACATACTAAATAACAGTGTCTCCCTACGCACTGACAGCCTCAGAAATAATTGACCAGCGTGCTCCAAACTGAGACGCAGTAGGCAGAGAATTCAATCCTGCAGCTGACAGAACCCATTGAGCATGTCACTAGATTTTGCATTATACACAAAGCAATGTCAGGTCAGGGATGCGGCCTCCTGCTAGTTATTTGCGATTGCATCTCTGAGGGTAAATTACCTGGCTCTCCATAATATGGTCTAGTTAACTAATTTCCTGACAGCGCACTGTCTCATAAGAAAAAGTCTCAGATTTACTGCCTGTCAAAACCATGATGGACTGTTTTTTCCCCCTCTTTTCTTTTCTCCAAATGCTTGGCAGCCACTCAACGAAGAGCTCGTATTCAATATCCTCTCTCAGTGTGCCGGGAACATCTCTAATTCCAGACAAAGACGTACGGCTGACAATGAACAAAAAAGAAACATAACCTTATTATGTTTGAAGGCTACCAGGAGAGTGTCATTTCATCCACAAGTTCCCATGCAAAAAAAAAAAAAAAAGTAAGTCAGACAAGAAAGGCGGCTCGGGGTGTGTAAAGCGATGTAACGTAGTTCTTAAGCTCTCCATAAGAAAGCAGGGAAACCCATTATCCATTGTCCTTTCGACCTCGGCACACTGACAAGCACATACATACAGTATACAGTGTCCTGTCATTTTGTTGTTATACATGTGTAAATCATTCACTTTCTGTCAGAAAAGAGGCTCTGACAACAAAACCTCACCTCAACAACAGGGTCACCGGGAAACTAAATCCCACCGCACACAAAGCAGAGTTTTACCTGCGAGAGCTCGGCCTGCCACTGATAGCGACAAAGATGACAATAGCACAGTGACGGTGTGAAGACTGCCTTTAAGCTACACCACGCAGGGGAGACAATACAGACTCAGAGAGCACTCCCTCCTCCTCCCACGGTGGAGCCCAGCAGTGTTTTAAAGTTCACAATGCTGCACCAAGGTCTGCCTACCCTTTCTTTTCTTTCTCTCTGTGTTCCCATTCAGCCGGACGGTGTGGCCTATCATCGTCTCCACAATGACAGTAGGTGGAAACGCTAGCTTTCATTACACAAAGTATAAATAGTGTAATCTATCAGCCCTGCCAATCAGGATGATTGATTATGGGCTGTCAGGGAGGAGAGTGACACATTAGAAAAGTTTGGTTAACAATGCCTGTAGCTGGTGCGGGGCTGCTGCCACCCAGCCCAGTGATTAATGTGTTGTCAGCCTGTAATCCCACACCCACGCTTAATGAGGCAAGAATTTATCATCTCGGCGGAGTGGCAGATGTCAGAGAGGGGAAAGGAATCCAAGTGGCTGGAAACAATATACTTTTTCTAGCTCGCGCTTGACATGTCTGACAAGCTCGAAAAACCACAAAGAAGGTCTGTGTAAGCACAAACTTCAGTGGAGGGACTTTCGGCTCTGGCTGTGTCCTCTGTTGCATGCTCATGAAAGTCGCTGTTGAAAGAAGACTCCCATCTCCATTAACACTGTACCGAGGAACACACACAGCTGGGTATAATGGATCAAAGAGCACAAGAAGTTGTGGGAAAAGTTCACAACCACTTTGTATGATTGGACGTGTATGCGGAGGAAAGACAGAATTTAATTCGTCTGCAAAGAGATGAAACAGAGCATTTATTTCCTCCACTTTTCAAAACTTTAAGAGATGCAGACGATGTCTTGTTTTGTTTTTATCTCTGAGATCCGGTGTGTCTTAGAGTACTCTTACACTACATGGTACAAGGGCCTGTCAATGTAATAAAACATTTGCCAGAACACCAGAATTACTCATTGGTTTAATAAAGTATACATATTTCCTGCAGTAAGTTGATCTAGAAAATGTAGACAGAGCTGTTTTGGGTTGAACTTGCATGTAATTGCTCATACAGAGAAATGCATAACCAACACAGATATATGAGCATAAATCACTGAGGCTGGTAGTGCTAGCTCTGCTAATGTTAGCGCTACTGAGTAAACTAATTGGATACTGTTTATTTGCAAACTGTGATCCTTGTTCAACCCTGTTGGATGAATTATGCTCAATCTGGGCTTCATGTTTTCATAAGGTCAGACTAACGAGGTGATTTTTTTATTCACAAGTCAATCCTAAAGTTAAAGACAATGTGTGATCATAGAAAATAGTCCACTGAAGCGCCTAAAAAACTGTGTTTGGAATTCCATATTTGACAAATAGACCGTTTGTATTTCGCATTTAAAGCTGGTGTGAGCAACTTTACTTTTAAACTCAAGTTTGTGTGAATTTTGGCGCCCCCTGGAGTACACAGTGAAAGGCTTTACCTCTCAATCAGGGGTGGGCAACTAATTTTAACATGGAGCCACATGAGAAACCTGAATTGTGTTGGAGGGCTGAACCAACAATAACTTCAACTTCAAATCAGGGGCGACTTCTGAGAGAAACAAGCCTAAAGTCGTTTATAATGAGCGGACTTGACAAATATAAGACGTCTACGTATATTTTACTTTTTACTAAGTTTAAACTCGTCTCTATTAACGACTGCAGGTGTAGGATGTACGCATGTGTGTCCAAACGGAAATAAAACAACGGCTAGGTTTTCAAAATAAAAGCAACACACTTGTATAGCATGTTGGTGATTTGTTTGACAGACCTCATAAAGGGCTGGGCAGGGTCATCCAAAGGGCCGGGTGTGGCCCTCTGGCTGTATAATGCCCATGTCTGCCCTGTATGTGATGATAGTTTTTTTTCTTCTTTCTATTAAAAATCAAATTTATCACTTAGTGTGAATGTTTGTTGACTAAAAGTTGTTTCTTGTGTGTACTTGTATAGCACCTACCCGGTGGCAGCAGTTAAAGGCATTAAAAATGACAATATAGGAATATTCATGGTCTTGTTTGCTTTTATAAATCATCAGTATTTATTTCTGTCTGATTCATAATCTACTAAAAACTCCTTACAGGAGCTTTAATATTTGTGTTGCAGATAATGCTGCTGTGAAACGTGATCGATTTTCTCTGACAATAGAGTCATGTTATTTAAAAAACACTTTCAGATTAACACAAATTGACACAAACTTCCTCAATTGACTTTAAAACAAATGTGACACTTATAGACCACATCCACCTCATTTAGCCCAGACTTTAAACCCCATTAAGTTTTTTAATAGCGCATAAACATCTGTATGTCATAAACGACAACAACTTTACCAGAACTGTCTGATAAAAATCTGGAAGTGAATTAAAGCAACGCTGCCTCGTGAGGGCGCACATGACAATCAACTTCAAAGTGAAGCAGAAACACGAGTGCTGAAACAGTGATTAATGTGCGCTGTCAACATCAACTGGGAGAGACAGGCAAAGAAATAACTGATCTCTTTGAGAGATTTAAAGTTTGGCACATTTCTGTGGAAACACCCGGTGGGGTAGGAGGGGAAGAAAGATAGATGGAGTTTTTTTTTTTCTTTTTTTGGAGCGGAGAAAACACTAAGCCAGCTGTCTCTCATTAGGCTAGCAGCATCTTCCTGTCACCAGAGAGACCAACAGGGAGGATTAGCTCTGATTGGACTGATAGGCCAACGCACTGGGAAGCTGCACTATGTAATAGCTAAAAGCATCATTTGATAAGAGGTGCAATTGAAGAGATGCCTTAGTGGCTATCATGTTGTTGCTACAGTGCATGTACAGGGATTGTGGAGCTTTGCAGCCTCTTGGCATTTCATGAAAGGAAGCTCAGTTTCAGTTTTATAGAGGAACATAATGACTGTGAAAAGTAGGACTCAGAATGCAGAATGTCTTTTACATATGTCTAAAAGGTGTTCAGTGATATGAGAGGGTGGATTTGTGTTATTTCCCCGCAGTTTTCTGTCTCTAAAAAGACCTTTGAAAACAGAAAAACCTAATAAAAACTTGGTCCTTCCCAAAGGCAAATAAAGGATTAAGTTGGAACAGTTTGTGTAAAAAGAAAAACTTTAAAGCATGCCAAACCCAGGCACTCAATGTTATTACACTAATAAAATCTTGACAAAAACTCACATATTAGACATGAAAAAGAGGAAATTATGTGAACAATCACACGACCTGTCAAAGTTATGATAACTTTTTTCGAGGAGAGGGAGATGTCTCATTATTGCCGGCCAGATTTGGCCTGTTTTCTGACAGGCCTCAAACTCCACCACTAAAACACAAGAGATGTCGAGACAACAAATGCTTCACCACAGAGGCGTTCCTCTCCTCTGTACTGGATGCCAGCAGAGGGAGAGGAAAATCAGTTAATGCAACGCGGCCACTTCAGTGTCTCATAAAAGCCCTAACAAAAACACATGTTTGTTTTTATGCTCTGCATTTTGCCAAAAACGAACACTACATCTATCATTTCTTGCATGCAAGAGTGACGTGACACTCGGGTCATGCACCCCATGTCTCCAGGCTTTGAATGAGGCCATAAATCAATCTTGGTGTTATTACTTGCCATTAATTGTGCTTTAAAGTTTTACAGTGTGTTTATGATATGCAGGGCCTGGATGATTTATGTGGACAGTCTGAGTCACTCCCTCTAATTGCTGTTGTTTCCCTGGCTTATAACCCCGGCGTGACCTCTCAGCTTTCACTGCCAAAATGCTCCAATTTGGGCCCGTCGCACCGATCCAAACACTTGGACTGGCTTCAGGATTCAAAAGGCTGTTACAGGGAAATCCACGATCAGGCACTTATCACAATAAACTGACAGACGAATACACATACCTGAGAGAATGAACATGTGGCTCCTCGGAAATATCTTGGCGCAAACACGCTGTTTTTCGTCAATCACGCAAACTAAACACGTCCAAACAATTATAAACAGCTGTTTTAACATTAAGGATATGCTGTCATGGAAAGAGGGAGAACAGCAGTGTCTCAAGTGATGTAATTAACAGATAACGTGATATTATGTAAGATGGGGGGCGAGATCATCATTTGAAAGCAAGCAGATCACAATATGTCAGGGAGTTTATTTGTGGGAACATAAAGCAGACAAGCTCTCGTATGGTTACAGTTTGCCCACGACTGCGACTGAATCCGCAGTGCTGTCCTTATTCGACCCGACGCATACATCATGATTTAGGAATGTTTCAGGAAAGAAAGGAGACAAATCATGGTTCTGAATGCGGAAATAGAGGATCAGCAAAGAGGGTAATAAACTTGCTTCCACAGCAATCTGTTGGGTTACATTTCCTTCCCCTGTTGAGAACCATATTCTCTGAGTTTTCTCTCAGGACACATTTGTTCAGTAAAATGATTCAGCAAACCCACTGAAGGCGCATTCACAAAGCGCTATATTGCACGCTGTTTGTTATGTTTGAGAGCTTCAGGGAACTCATAACTCTTGGAGCAGGGAGATCAACGTGGCAATGGACTTCGCAGGGTACATTTGAGATTTACAAAAGGAAGCAAAACAAAGCCAACCTACAGCAGAAAGCCTCCTCTTGTTTCTGGAGTTGTAGAGCCTCAACCATGCATCACATAATGCACAATCATGTGTCCAAAACCAAGCAGTCTATCTTTCGATTTGGACTTGCTTCCTTTGGTGCAAACTTAAAATGAACTGCTGTCTGCTGCTGAGTAAAACAGGTTAGTGTCTGGGGAAGAAAAAACTGAACTGAAAAGATCCACTTGAGGACTTTCCTGGCTCTGTCACTGTCAATTCCCTTGAAGAACCGTTACCCTGTGCGCAGAGACTCATGGGACCCTGGAGCTGGCTCAAGCCACCCTGCAATGCAGTCTGCTTTACATTATACAGAAGGATGTGGAGGGAGGAAAAAAACTTATGCTCATGCTTGAAAATCAAGTCAAATACTGAGTTCGGTCAAAATCTAAGTGACATCCGAAGAACATTTATACCCTCTGACGTAGCTACCAAGCTGTGCTCAAAGAGGGGGGACCATGGAGTTAGTTCTTTCACTGTGAAACACTCTTAAACATGTGGCATGAAGTAAATGTTATTCTACCAGTTAAATTTGCTACGCACTTTTTTTCGAGCAGAACTTGGGATGTGAAAACAGAAAGCGCTGTCACAGTGTTTTGATAGACATGGCCAGTTTAACCCGAGACTTCGACAGCATAATGTGGCCTCCGTGGCAGAGTGGAGGGAGGTGGAGGACGCCGAGCCAAAAAGCACCACATGTATTTTCCGAAAGCAGCCCGACACCAGTCCAAATGGCTCTACGTGGTTTAACGCCATTTCATTCCATGACCTCTAAGTCCTCAAAGAGAATTATCACATTATAGCATTCCAACACGCCCAATTTCCCAAAATACAGCTCAAGGCTTTTCCACCCTCACTGTGTTTAGTGTTGTGGTTTTGGGAAAACATCAGTCGTCCTGACCTTTTTTTTTTGGTTTTGCTTTGTTTACTTCAGGTATTTATACATGTTTTTTTCTCACTGTCTCGTCTTTGTCACTTTGCATCCCTATCTGTCCAATTACTCGTCCTTTCCACTCAGAAATGCAGTAAAACAAAAACCTTAAAGAGAAAATTAACACCCTCTGACTTGGAAGCAAACACCAAAACATACAAATGTGGAAATGTGGAACGGCTTATTGTCACGCACTTATGGTGTCAAACCCACTTGTGCATGAACACACAATAACAGTTAAAGAAGTGCCAACATTATGTGCAGTGTTATAACTTCGGGACTCTTATCTGAACACACCTCATTGGGGTTTTTTTTTTGGTCACATTAACTGTGTTTCACTCAATCATAAAGACAATTTTAATGAAATGGAATTAGGTGCAGAAAGAAAATAGTAAAATAAGTTTCCTCGGCCATCAAGCTGCTTAACATCTGTGCAAAATGTTGTTGTTTTTTGTAGTGTGAACGTGACATGCAAGGAAAATGCCCTCAAACTAGAACAACAAGAGCTTATAAACACAATCCACTTGTGCATCTATGTTGGCAAGTATTGGCCGTGTAAATCTGGTGTAAAGTTCCAATATATCAGTGTAAAATGCAGACATAGTGTAGGTATGTTTTTGCCCTGCAGGATATATCTTTTTAGATTATTGTTGAGCTTTTCTTATGAGGCAGATAAGATAAGGGGGTGATATCAACCAAATCCTACAGACATATGCCATCAACCTCGAGTGCAGCCACAATATACCCCAATTATTACCTCCGCCAAGGAGGTTATGTTTTCGGTACCTTTGGTTTGTTTGTTTGTCTGTTAGCAACTTTATGGAGATTAACAGATGGATTGACCTGAAAATTTCACCAGAGGTGCGTCTCAGCCCCAGGAGGATCCCATTAAATTTAGGTGGTGATCCGGACAAAATTCTGGATACTGTGATCCAGAACACACAAAAATAAGGGTGTCATGGGAATTTTCAATGCTGAAAGATAACTAATGGGCGGCACAGTGGTGTAGTGGCTAGCACTGTCGCCTCACAACCAGAAGGTCCTGGATTCGAATCCTGGTCAGGGCATATCTTGTTTAAGGGGGGACATGAGCTGCTTGGCGGAGGTCTTCGCTCTCCGAGTGCTTTTCTAGTTGTGTTTTGCAAGTGTGCTACTGTGTGAAGTAATGACCAGAGGAGGAAGGTGGTGTAAGTCCTACTGGTGAATTGGTCGCACCTTAACTACCCAGTTGGTTGCATGTATGTATTGCAAACAAAACACAGTGTGAAAACTACACAGTGGCATAAAAAATTGCAAGTTTGCATCTCATCTCCTTAAAGGACTTCTAAAGTTTATTTTATGGTACTGAGTTAGGTACGTGTAGTTAATTACAATGTGCTCGAGGACATATTTAGAAATACTGAACTAATGTTTGTCTTGGTGGTCGTGGTCGGACACAAACATACATATTCTCTGAAGGTGGTGACTTTCTGTAAATTCGACAGTCATACATCCCCATGGGTTATTTTTCATATGTGTGTTTTGTTTGCCGTGCCATTCCTGTACAACAACCGATCACCGGCTGTCTGGTTGTGATTCAGTCGACACGGGAAACATTGGAAACGTATGAAAGTTATGGCGATCAAATTGTGCTAAAGACCATAACTTTGTTGATCAGAGCCATGTGTTGCAGCTCAGTGCCATGCCGTAACGGCATGATTGAAAAGGAGTTACAACTGCGGTCACGATCCGCTTTGATATGACTCAAGAGAGGTCCAAAAGTTCAGCTGCGTCTCTCCTTTTTGTGAGTCCATTAACTATTCCAATACATGCATCATTCAGTGGGAAGGGTTTGATGGAAGGGGCTCTTTCTTCACATTAATGCTGTCATAAGCGGGCATGTTTCACTGCTACCCTGCTGCAGTTGCTGCTGTTTCTATGGTTTCAATTTATCTAGTGTAAACAGTGGGAAAGAGTTTTGTCATAAAAAGGTCTGAGAGGAAAAATAACTGAACCCAGGGCAAAAGACTTTGAAGACTCACTAAAAGTCAAACCATTTCAATAAATAAACCTTTTAGATGAAGTCTGTGCCGCCGCAGTTTTTCTCTGGCGCTAATTTAGACTCAAATGGTAGCAGGAGTGACAGCGAGACAGCTAATTACCATTCTTTGTAATAAAGCAAATGGCAGACAGTGCACCACGAGCCACTGTTATGAACAACACCCCGCTGTACCAGACATAAAAGCAAACACAAATATCTAATTATACCATCATCTCTCCTCGTGTTCCTTCTGTGTTGCAGACGTTTCATTAATTGGTGGCCCACACTATCGGTCAGCTCACAATCACTCTGATGATGTGGACAATTAGAGCTGGGAGGTACTCATGCCTCATCAAGTCAGCGGTAGTTGACACATCATATCTCATCTACCTCAAAAGAAATGTTATGAAAACGCTGCTGTGACAACCGAGAGACGAGAAACGGGATATTTCCAGGCGAGGATTCTCCCTTTAGTGAAGAACTGCTCATATGAAACTGTACGGAACAGAAAGAGTGAGTTTGATGGCATGAAATACTCCATGCATTGTAGGAAAAAAAAAAGCATCAAAGCTGTAACCTTTTACCTTGCATAAGGAATAAATAATCACACGCAGCAGGTTTAAAGACACAGACACACACATCGTGTCAGAGAGAATCAATGATCATCTCTGCTTTCATCTGAGGCTGTGGGGACAAAAGCAAACATTTCTTTCTCGCTGACAAGCTATGTAAATAATATCTTAAAAAGTGACTTTACAATGCCAAAAAGCATGTAGAGGTCCTCAGCTTCTTTTTATACACAAAGGACGAGCTGTGTTTTCATTCCACTTTCCTCTTCCTAGCAAACAAGTCAGACTGAGGTTAAATTATTTCAGTGTTTTGGTTTTTCCGCTTGCATGAAAAACAAGAACAAAGCTGACACTAAAAGAGTACACCATCTTAGGTGATTGTCTGTAACAATAAATAGTTTTTTTTTTCTAACACTTTCAAACCCAACACTGACTCGCATGCTTCTGATTTGTCGTTGGATGTCTTCGCTGCTACTCTGCTTCCATTTTTAACCTTCTAGGCTCACTGTCAGAGCCCCTGAGACCTTGAAACGACAAAGCTTAGCTGATCTGATTAGTAAATATTTCATGACCTTACAATTACATGAAATCAAATCTAGGCAAAAGCTGTTCATTTACATTGCATTTTAAAAGAGGGGGGAAGAAGAAAGTAGAAAAAAAAGGGGGTGAAGTGGTGTATCTGTGAACCTCCCGAACTCTAATTAGTCTGTGTGGCCCTAAACAAGAGAGGGAGGAATAAGTGCACGGGCTCGGGATAATTAAGCGATTGTGAGCGGCGTGTACGTGAGCTGTCACTCCAATCGCCAGCCATGTCACACTTGGCAACACAAGCGCGACCGGACAGCCGCCCGTCGTCTTTGATCTGGGGCTCATGCATACGGAATCAGGTCAGGCCGTGGTCACACACATTTACACACATGCGCTCGCATGCAACACACACAGACGCACACTTGAAGCGATAGGAAAGAGAGAGTCTTTGTAAAGGGCCGCAGCGCTGAGACCTTCTATAAAGGGGAGCCTGACAGTCAAGCATGCACAGGAAGAAAGGAGGGATAAAGAGGAAGAATAGAACAAACGAGGAGAGGATGAAATCCACTCAAGACTTCAGAGGAAATTTAAAACAAAGTGGGAAAAAAAAAAGGGCTAAACTTACAGCTTCCGACTTGGGTTTGACCACTTTCATGAATGCCCCTCTTGCTTGTGCCTCCATCACCTCTTTTTTGGTTACTTTCCTCGTGTCCAGGAACTTCAGCTGGGGCAACTTGTGCAGAACAAAGTACCTGCAAGAAAAAGAGCGCCGTATTTCTTTACAAGGGTCTACTCGTAGGCCTCTTCTTAACAAAGAAACAAGCCGAGAATCTGAAGAAGTGTGTTAACCGTCACGAACTAATCAAACTGACACATTTTCTAATATGTAAATGCATGCATCATCTACACTTGAAAAGAAGCCTTGTTTACAGAGATTTAATGGTGATGCAGATTTAATGGTGATAGCTTCTTGTATGTTATAACCTTCAAAGCTGATAAGAATAAGTACAACATATAAATAGCACGAAAGGAGATACAACCCGTCTGCCAGAGCTGTCATTCTGGCAGCATCACAGATATCTCTCTAAGCTTTCAGACACACTCTGTCTTTCATTGGGAGGCAGAGAAACGTCAAAAGATAATGGTAGGAATACATAGATGACAACAGATCCTTTCACAGGCAGGCAGGGATAGAGGAACCAGTATGTCAGGGCTGAGCTGGTAGCCTTAAAAAAAGAAAAAAAAAAAAAGAGGGACATGCATGCAGCACCTAAGTGGAGGGTGAGAAAGGACGGGAGGGGATATGGGCAAAGACAGGACCTGTGCGCAAAGAGCCGTGACAAATTGATGATGGCGATGGCGATGAGGGGAGATGGCGAAGCTAGTGTCAAGTTTTCAACACCTGAGGATTATAAGGAAGAGATGCAGGGATCCCGTTTATACTGAAAACATACCTGTGCAAAACCAAGAGGGAAAATGTCTGATTTAATTTGTACGTAATTAAAAAACAGCAACATTTGTGGACCTGAAATGCTTCTTACACGAGCATTATTACATAGTAAACTGACCTGATCCTGACCCCTAATAAGAGCTCCTTTTCCAGCACTAAAATCCAAGAGGCCCCCCCAATCCCATCCTGTGTCTCCCTCCCTCCCTATAAAAGGACTTTGTTCAGGGCATTTCCATGATGAAATGTGAAGATGCCCTTGGGAGACACGCAGAGGGGTCATTCTCCATAGGTAACCTACCATCACAGGGTCAGAGCAGATGACAAGACTCTGTCAGCCAGCAGGGATATTAATGATTCAACCCGAGCAGAGAGAGGGGATAACAGAGCACAGGAGGGAAGGGCAGGGTGGAGGATGACAGTGAGTAAAAAAAAGGCTGAAACACTTGATTTAGTGTTACCAAACATGTCTGGTCGAAATATGATTTTTAACGCCCTTGGATGGAGTTAGCTAGAACAACCATGACAGAAATAACGGGTTTAAAATATCCAGATATCTGCTTTATTTTAATTCGTAGGAACTGCATATCAACTGGAACATAAATGTAACGTTCTTTCACAATATTTAACGCTACTGTTCATGTCAACTTTGGCGCCCCCTGTGGTGAAAAATGGTGCATCTTCACTCCTTGCTTAATCTATCCTGTATATTTAAGTTTATATCCCAACCAAAAATCTCATCCTAATTTCTTTGACACTTATTCCGATGCTTTTGTTTTGAAGACAATAATCTTACAAGTTTGACATCATTATCATAGCTAGAGGTGTTGTCGACCTTCTGGGACAGATTGTAGCTTCTCTGTCTTTCAGTTAAAAATGAATTAGCACCTCTGACCCATTGTTGGCATCAAAACTCGACCTCAGGGATGAATGAGTGACGTTGCTGAGACTACATCCATGATTTATACAGCCCATAAATTTACACCCGGTGGTGGCGATCCCAGGTGGTAAAAGTTACTTTATAGAAATCGTCATAAGACTGATGGACTCATTTGCTTGCTCGTAAAGAAGACTCAATCTCAGTCTGTTTCATTACTTGACATAAACTCCTTTCATTGGGGCTTTAAGTCTATAACCAGTCTTATTTTAAGAAAAAGCAGGAAACAGTATGAAAGTAACAGCCAGGTCGAGTGAGTAATAATGTGTAGATGGATTTCGCTGAAAGGACACATTGGATAATTTATTTAAATCTATTTATTAATATTTTTTATTGATTATATTTTATCAATAATATTTTTTATTATTTTATTTTTTATTATTATTATTTTTTATAATTTAACGTTTTTTATGTATTTATGCCTGTTTACACCCAAAAGAAAGACTAATTATAAGTGATCTGATCAATAACCTGTCTCTGCACTCAAAAAAAAAAAACTACATAACCCATGAGCAAAGTGTTACCACACAGCGTTTACACTTGGTTTAACATGTAAGGATGATAACCTGAAAATCAGAGGATCACGCAGCTGTGTTTATGAAACTCGGCGAACACAAAGTTCAGCTGAATGTTGAAGCACCTCAGGCACAAACTCTTTGATCTGCTGAAAAAAAAGGAGATCTGACAAGCTGATAACTTTCCTCAAGATAAGAGGTTAAAATGTCACATCAGATGTGTTAATCTTTCTGCGTCACAGAGGCAAAGAGAAGTTAGGTTACAATAGTTTTGATTTAGAGGAATAAGCGCCCTCTGAGCAGACAGCTGCATGATCACTCACCATTGAGGACACGTCGTATTAGCGCTTTGAAATCTTATGTTTTTGTAGTACTAGACATGTCCACTGAGCGTATGGACTGTCATGTAAGAACAGGACATTTAACCTCCCTGCAGAATCTACAGTAGAGTATGAATGAATCCTGTGTTTCTATGTCATTGCACTAATTGGGGCACCAATGCTACGCACCAGGCTATTTCACTTGAGAGACCGAGAGCTCCCGAGGCCGTGGACCGGGTATTTATTGCCCAAGGCCAATGCTGTCACGACCTGCATACAGCCTAACCTTGTCAGACATGAAATCTGCATCACGCTCAAATTGATGTTTTACTATGTGACACATTATGAATATTACATTACAGGACCCTAGACGTTGTCAGTCAAAACAGAGCGGCTTCTCTCACCAGTAAGATAAGCAAGAGAGGAGAGGAGGGAGAGAGAGAGGGGAGGGAAAGTGAGAGAAAGGAGGGAGACAAAAAGAGAGAAGAAAGATTATTCAAGAAAGGCACGGCTGGTAAATGATTAATAGGCAACACAGAGTCAGAAACAAGCACTTAGGGCTAAAACAGACAAAAGAGAGTATGCTTTTCGCCTTTTATCGCATTTCATGTAAAGGACCCTGACAAATGGTGGTCATATTGCACGGCTTGAGGCCTAGCTTGATGTTTAATGCATCATCTGCTCTGGTAAGGCAGGGTAGTAAACACTCATTTGTGGTGGTGACTAGTCACACATGAAATCCATTTTGCAAACTGGAGTGTAGAGGGGCTGGTTGACAAAGCTTTTAGAGTGATGCGGTCGAGTCCGCAGTCTGCTTGTGAAACGTCGAAGAGCGGTTGTAACAAAAACAGGAACATCTCCAAATCCATTACTTACAAAAACTATCGCTCTGAGCCGCCCGGCTGAAATGAAATATTTGTTTTAATTTCTTTTAACCTTTATTTCACCAGGAATATTCCCGTTGCGCTCGAAACATCTCTTGCCAAGTTCTTGCTAGAAAAGCTGCATTAAAAAAGTCCAGCGTTATCAAAGAAAAGCACCGCTGGGAGCTGAAATGACTTCAAATAGGAAATTAGCAGCTTTTAGCATCAAGATATGCTCATTCAGAGGACAAAAACCTCTTAATCCTGGTTTTATAACCTTTGGTGCTGAAAAAGGACCCAGAAACTCAGACTACAATGATGACCATTATTTGTCGTTTAAGGTGACATCTGTATCTCATTTTTTTACAGACCTGTATCTCTGGTAGTCGTCCTCATCCTTATCCGGGCTAACCAGCTGGTTAGGGCAGGCCTCGTTTCCCAGCAGGCTTAGGTACTCCAGTGACGGGGTCGCATCAGCCAAGTGTTCCAGCAGGGCCTCGATATCAGTCAGGTGTCAAAGGGCGGATGTCAAGGACCTAGCACTGTTAATTACATTAGCATTTACTCCCCGCACAGCCCCTCCCTCGCCTGTCTGCGCTAAAACACGTCACTGTCAAATTTACCGAGCTGCTCAAAGGGGCCAGTCACCAGCTTTGTGAGAGCGGGCAGACAGAGGGGCAATTTAAGGTGCAGGCTTTGGCATATAGTAGTGACACAATTTGGCTGCCGCGCTCTCTCCCTTTTCTCTCGATCTCTTTCATTTCCTAGGTGGCCGGGTGCAGAACAGTGACAAAATGATGGATGCCCTGTGGTTCAAACAGTCCGTGCTTCCCAGAGCTGTGCTGTGGAAAACTTTTTTGCGAAGACGTGGAAAAAACAAACAGCCCCTAAGCAGGCACATTCATCACTAATACATTCACTTGGAAAATTGAGCCCCAAAGTGTCAAAATACAACTGCACTAATGCAGCGCTCAGGCTTTAAAAATGGCACCGTGCCACGACAGGATGTACATAATTGGCCTATTAGCATGTGCCGACCACTTCACAAAAAAAAAACCCAGCACACAGTCCCAGACGCACACTTCAAGGAGCCCCAGTTTTAATGTTGACTCTGGAAACGTGTGTGTGTGTGAATATGTGAGAGAGCATGAGCATCGTTACCCGGTAGGATCTGCATAACCAGAGGAAAACAGGACACATTGCTAAACCTGTTCTGAAGCTTGGAGAGGAAGTTCACACATTTCTGACTGATCATAAACAGCCTCACAGCGTGTCTATGTCTCGAATTTAGGGGTGGCTGTGCAGAGCTCCGCTTTTAATGTGTTTACGTTGGGCGGTGGAACACACAGGGCCGTTATAACCAATGAGCCAAATTGTGAGCATGTGCTAGTGCGTTTAGTGACAAATTAAGTAAGTGCTTTATTTTATTTCAGAGTGGTAAAGCAGTAAAACAAAGCATAATGCAACTGTAGAAAATAAGATTTGAGGAATTTTCCCTTTAATTTAAACTAATTGATATTACGAGGCTGTAAGTGCGTTATATCAATTCATGTCTCGTTCTTGCAATGTATTTTTAATTCAGCACTTTTTATTCTCTCTGAAATAAAAAATAAAAAATAAACCCTCTTCTGTTGTGTTGGCTCTAAAATGTGATTCCACTAGAGGTCCCTGTGGTTCAAAAACTAGTCCTGAGTGGAGCTCCCTGATACAAGTTCCTCTACTTTCTTTTGCAGCACACACAGCCTTCTGTAAAACCATGGCATTAAAAACAGATTTTCTGCAACGCTAAAAGGTTGTACTGACTTATAAATGTAAGCAAAGAGCGCTTTTATTCTTGTTATCATGCCTGCAATCCACAAAGGCACTAAATCAAACTAAGGAAGAAACCGGGTGATTAGTTTGAAAGGATATTTGGTTCTTATTGAGTGTGAGGGTGTGGAGGTTGGGTAACCTGGGAAACCGGAGGTCATTTCCGAGAAGATTGTTGTCCACGACCAGCTCTTCCAGCTCAGTGAACATTTTGAGGCCTGCCAGTGACCTGCAATGACAAGGCAACAGGAAAAAAAAAAAAGGTTATGGCTTTAAATCTGGTCAGCCGTTATTGTGCAGAAATAAATATTTCAGCCCTGCCTCTTTTTATACGCCGGGAGAGTATGGGTCCGGGCCTGTCAGGGAAGTGAATGACAAGAATTAGTGGTGCTGAGCTCCCCTGGCATGGTGAGGCATCCTTCAGCGGCTGGCAGGATGAGGGATGGGGGTCACTTGTGAGTAGCCAGGATTCAAAACAAAAGGCTTCAGAAATGCGGCGGGCAGGATGAATTTGTCAATGTCTTGTGCCTTGAGGCGCCCAGTTTCGCCTGACCCTAACCCTCCATTCCCAAGACAAATCACTCTGTCACAGTTCACCTTCACTCCCCAGACACAAATTTAACTTGTCATCCATCATTTTCACAGAGGAACCGGAATACACTCACAATCACACATGGAATGGAGGGGAAACTTTTTTTTTGCAGCAGTGCCACCATAGGGGTTTAGTGTCGGGTTTTTAACATCAAAAGACGTCTTTTTTTGTTTTTGTTTAAAGAACGAATTCTTTTTTTTCTGCTTCTTTTCATGACGTATCGCCGGAAAGGTGAGGGGTCGCCTCAACTCTTTCCCCCCGTCCGTCCCGCTCGCACACTCACTCACATTCACACAGGCATAAAAATGATGGAGGGCGGGGTTAGGAGTGATGTTAGGGACCTGCAAAGTTCAAGTCATGGAAGGTGCACGAAGGCAATGTGTGTGTTGCGTCTAATCCTTCACACTGTCAACATGCCGTGTTAAAGCGTCCTGGGGGACTTCATTGACATTTAAATCTGCCGGAGCTTGACAAAGACAGCACACTTTTCAAAATCACAGCCAACAAAACAACTCTATTATTGTTTTCGATGATCAGACCTTTACACTTCGAATATATAAGAAAATGTTTCTGAATTTGAAAGCAAACAGATAACCTTGACGTTAGGTTACGTAAATACAAATTCCAATGAGCGGTGTCATATTGCGGTGTGACAAACTCAAGGTACAGTGAGGTCTAAACAGCTGCAGTGTGAACTATTGCTCCTCCATGGATCTGCCTAGCGTCAATGGCTGCCATAGTACGCACCAGCTTAGAGCTATGTAAATATAACACCTTTATCATGACAATCTGCAAATGGATAGTGAGGAGCAGGAAGTAACAGGGGTGGGGATGTACATTGCTCATGGAAAAGTATCTACATACCATCAAAGAAGGGGGAAACGCATTCAAAAAGACAAGATCTGCAAAATAATGAAGTGTATCAAAAATACGATTGCACCTAATTGGTTCAATTTGCTTTTATTTCACAATTTGAGAGCCAAGCTGTGTGCGTTCTTTGAACACACACATGGATCTATAGATCGGACAAATTGGCAGCAACTTGGAACCACAAGGACAAATGCCACAACAATATTCTTGGATGGAAAGTTACAGATCAACACGACTTTGTTTACTTGCAAGTAAAGGGGGAACCGAGCCGCCATGTTTCAAAAGACATCAACATTTTGCAAACACACGCACACACACACACACACACCTGATACCAACAACAACAACAGCAGCTGACAGCACCTAGCCTGTGTGCTGGCAAAGCTGCTAGCTGACAACCTCTTATCAGGTCTGATTAATGCTCTGGCGAGATGGATGAATGGAGAGATGTGCCAGTTTTTATGAAATCCTACTCTGTTTGCTTATTTTTTTTTCTAACGTAGTGCTTCTTCTTTTCTAGCTGCAAAACAGCCAATTAGCAGGGTACAGTAAACAGAGATTGTGAAAAAAATGTAGCTTGGTTATTTTGTTGCTGTTTAGTCGACTTACTGTAGTGTATTTTGGATTAAAACAAACTTGATGCAGACCTTGAGAAATGCTGCATCCACTGTTTTGCTCTGAAACATAACAAATAAAACATAAATTTGGCTAACTTTTTCCCCACTGATGTTTTTATATATTTCAATTTCATCCAGAGCGATGTACAGACAAGAAATTTAATGCCTTACCTGCAGGTATAATCTTTATTTTACTGTACCCTACAACACAATAGTGAACGACGGTAAATAAACATTACATTAGTGATTCACAGAAGTTGCTAACTAACTATCGCCACCTGTGAGTGTGCATATGTTTGTATGTGTGTGTGTGAGTGTGTGTGTTTGCATGATGGGCTGCAGTCCTGTGGGTTATGTTATTAGCTGCTCGGTTAAAGGGAGCCTCGTGGCACAGGAGGGAGCCTTATTAATTGTTGTTTTCATGTCACCACTGCTGCGTGCACTGGCTGATTTAATCAGTTAAATTCACAGCCAGGGGAGAGCCACTGAGTCCCATCCAGCATTAACTACAGTGCCGGGATTGAACTTCTAATACTCTCCAGCTTTCCCTGCTCCCTCTGCACATTTCCATGGCTGCTTTCATTACTTTTTATAAGCGTTCTTGTTTTTAATGTGTGGTTTGGAAAACTAACAAAGTTTAAGCACTGCAGTAAAAGTACTTGACTACAAAAACAGGAGAAAAAAAAACAGAGCAGCTTTTGCTTTTAACAAAACTAATGAGTATAATTGACTCGCGTCGCTGTGCTATAGAGATTTGGCAAACGGTAAGCACGGGGAAATGTAAATAAACGCACACATTTTATGGGAAATCGGCTTTTTGAAAATATGTGATCAAATTAGTTGAAAATGCACATATTTACTGTACTGTTAATGCAATTTTTAATAAAATTACAGTGATTTTCAGAGATTTACTACCTTTGTCATGGGCATTTTGCCTGTTTTTTATACATCAGTTAATGTGACATACACAGATTAAAAGCCGCTAAGTTATATTTATTCATATCTAGAGGTATGAAAACATTTTTTTTTTTTAATTTTGGGGAGGAGTAGCATTTCATATAAGTGAGTTAACGATAATCATATAGATAAATAAACAATAAAGTCATTTTTGTAACTTAAATCAACCACTAATAGGCCAACATATTTAGAAACGTACCATTTCTACAAAGTGTAAACTCAGAGAGAGAGAGCGAGAGAGAGAGAGAAAGAGAGAGAAAGAGACAGAGAGGGGGGATGAGGTGGTAGCTTTAACGAGGTGAGCCGATGAATCCTCTCCTTGTTAAGATAATTATGATCAGCCTCATTGTCAGAGCTAATACTTCACACGGCCTGTCTTTACGCTTTGACGACCACTTAGCCTGTGTAAGCTCACCATCATACATCATACAGCCCCCTGTGCTTCAGCCTGTGTGTGCTTTGGAGCTTACATAAGTAGCTCATGTATGGGCCGAATTTTAAATGAAGTGCCATGATCCTGTTTAAACTCACAGAGTGCGTACAGTGATATTTGGCCAGAAGAGAGACTCTGCACCGCAGGCAGTGCAGGGTGTGAGAAACACAGACAAGGACACAGGAGAGGAGACACTGACCCGGAGAGCAAGCCTGCCAGATCAATACACTAATACTAATGCAGACATAGTGATTGATAAACCACTGCTGACAACAGAGGGAAGAAAACTCTCGACCGTTATTGGCTGAAGTGTCAGTCACTCCTGCCAATGGTGTGTGCTAGTGTCATGTCAGATATCCTCAGGCAGCACATGAGAAATGGAGGACGGCAGTCTTGGCTCTTTTACATGTGCTGCACAGTCCTGTCTTCTGTCTGAATGAATCACAATTTCAGCAGCTTTGAAGTTGATGGGTCAGATGTAGTTTTTATTTTTAGATGTCTTTGATTGAGTGCTGTAACCTTACAACCGTCTTTGTATCTTAAATGGTGCGAGAGATCACACAGACAGTATCCGTGCGACAGGAAAACTTCCTGAGTCTTTTGAGGGCTAAAAAAGCATAACCATCTTACACACACATGCACTTTGAGAGCTGTGGAGCCCTCACAGCTGCAGTCCACAGTTCTAAGTGTCTGATATCCTCTCAAAGATCACAGAGGTGCACAAAAGCAATGCTCTGTTATTTTATGTGGAGGGACAAAGCAACAGAGTGACAGTCAGAGTGGTGTCCTGCCCTGCTCAAAAGGCAACAGATAAATCTTTGATGAATTGACCAATACAGAGGCCATGATGGTCTTCATATGCACATAATGGACTATTCAGTGCACATTTCAGATTGCCTGCCAGGATAAGGTTCTGTAATGAATGGGAAAAGGAACTGGGCCTGGGAAGCCCTGTATGTGGACTGGCTTTAATAAACTTAATAAGAAAGCTCAATGGAGGCTGGGAAGCCATTCAGTCCATGACAGGCAGGATGGATCTTGATGGTTCTGCCGCGCCGTAAACTAAAAGTATGTCCTTTATTTCCATAAATATTTGACTACATTAGTGATACCCTCTTGATACCAATCTTCTAAAGGGACGTCATTAACCACTGATTTTCATTATATTTAAGCAAGGATAATGAGTATTTACTATTTCCTTTGACTTGAAATTATAGAAAAAAAACAGTTTAAAGAACGATTTATGCACAAAATATGCAAAAAAAAAAAAAAAGGGCATCTTCAACCAAAATAACAAAAAGTCAAATTATATGAACAGAAAATTTACAGACAGCACCAAAAAGTCTGCCAGAGCTGACAATAGAGTTACAAAGTGGCAGAGGGAGTCAAAGGCACACGATGACACTCTGAAAACAGATATTAAAAGGGTGGGAGTGATGAAATGCAGATGGGATGAACTCACAGAGACAACATGCATTTTAAAAAAAACATTAAAGGGATAGTCCAGCATAAAATTAAGTTAGGGTCAAACACACTGTAACACCGAGTTAGACACCCCGTCAAGAGACTAACATTTATGATCATTTCCTCATGGAAATGCAATCAGACCAAGATGCTAAGGCAGAAGAACTGCTGCGTCTGCAGTGCAAAATGATTAATATGATGATTATTACTTTCAAGGAAATGAGGAAGTAATGATCATCAATGTTCTTCCTTGAGCTGCGTCACCCCGCTGCAGTTG